CTTATGTTTTTCTTTACATTGCCATTTTGGGGGACTCATGATTCTAATTTTTAGAAACTTACCATCCTTATTCTGTTCTACTTTTACAGAGTTGTGGAGATAAGGAATGAGAGGGAAAGTAGGGGCAGGACGAGTAAAGAGAATTACACTGTGTTATATACCAACTCCTCACAATGAAAGTAATCATGCACAGCAAACAGATTAATAAGCATAAACAATAAAAAACTACTCCATTGTTTTTTCAGAATATGCTATACCTGTTACATTTCCTAAGGTACTCTCAGAGAAACACGCACTAGCCTAGAGAAACAAATTTAGAATTCAATGGTTATAGTACATTTTTGTAGATGAGCATTGCCTTATACTCAGTGTGGGCATTAATTACCAGTAGGTTGTCAAAAGGAACCCTGTTAACAGCAGTAGGAGGGAACTGGTACCAGACTAGTTTACAGAAGCATGATACTGGGCTTCCTTGGTGAACATCAGAAGGGCATTAACATTTTCACGGACTGAGTCAAGGTGGTGTTCTCTCATTCTGCGACACTATTCTGCAAACATCCTTGATTTATCTAAGTGTCCTAAGTTTCCTTACCATTCATCACTAGTGCTGAGGCGGAGCAGAAAGTATTAGACCAAGTACAGGTGGAGATGATGATTGCATTAGAAGAGGAAAGGTAGCGAAGGACCCTTTCACAGATGCTTGGAGAAACCTGATGCCGTTGAGTGTTAAGGTATGGAGGGGGACCTTCTGCTTGGTATATCCTAACCTGGGTGGGTTTACAGTGTCATGGCTTGGAGAGTGGTAGATAAATACTGATGTTGAAAGAGATGGAAAGTTCAACTCAGGCCAGTTAGAGCAAATCATGTAACTTATTGTCTTAGTAACTAAAAAAAATTCAGGGTAAAACTGGATTCCTAAACTTAAGCTTGATTCTCAAGACCTGGCTTCTCTCTGCCTCTTGGCTCCATTTTTGGCTGTGTGGGTTTCATTTTCAGATTGTAGGGAAGACTGGCCCCTGTCTTCCCAATTCCATCCCCAGTGAGATTCTACAATCCCCAGAGAGATTCTCCATTTTTCTGTGTAAATGACGGTGTCAGAAGTCTGTCTTCTTGGTTTTAGTTTCCCTCATTCGAGTCCTGTACTTGTCCAGGAGTATCTGGGAGCCAAGGTATTGTTGTGTTCTCAGTGACTGGCAGGGAATGTCTCATGGCCTTGTTAGGCACTCCATATGTAAAGGTTATACCAAGCTGTAAGCTGCTCTTCAGCTCCCAGTTTGCATTTGAAGAGCTACTCTTGTCTATTCTAGATTTTAATTCTGATATTTTCCCCTTGGCAGAATGAGGTGACTTGTTGGATAGATTTAATATGATTACTGGAAATCAAGAACCTGAGTGTTTGTACCTATGCATTACCAAGACAATAAAAACTTCATAGTATAATTCAGGAAGTAAGAAGCAAGAGAGTAACCTAAATCAACATCATCTTAACATGATAGGAGTTCTATTAAGAGACAGGAGCTGTATTGGCAGGAAGAGTTTTAATTTCCTGTGAATCACTCCAAATAAGAGTAGGAAGTGTGAGGAGAACACAGGTGTGGGTTGGAAACGAGGATTTGCATATTGGAGTACGGTGCCATCAGAGAGGAGGGAGGACGGCAGTGATTCTAAAGTTCCTTCTTTCACCATTGTGATGTAATATGAGTTATGAACATTGTGATTTTTGAAAATGTGTTCTCTAAAACTCATAGACCTATTTAAAATCAGTGGGGCATGTAAAATTTTTTTTAAGTATAATAGAAAAAGTAATGCAAATTTGAGAAAGTGCAAATAAATAAAGAACAAAATAAAAAGTCAATCATAGGAAACAGAAAAATGGAACTTTTTTTTTTTGTAAAAGGAAAGGGACCAAGAGATGTGGAGGGGAAGGGATAATTTTAACAATGAGCTGTATACCTGTATTAGCTCCCTCCAACAAATGTAATCCTTATGTACTTTAAGCATGTACTCATAAAAAAGAAAATTACTGAAAGAAAGGAAAAAGTAAAGTAATATGAAATACTAGTAATGTTAGTAATTGTGTCAATTGCCAATGCTTGGTTTTCTGAGTTTAATAAAAAATAAAAGAAGTTCCATACATTCATTATGTTCCATACATTTCAGTATGTTATGAGAAAATATACCTAGTTACTCTAAAAAAAAGAGAGACTGTTTGTCTTTTGTGTAACTATGGCTGATTTCAAATGGAAGCCTCTTTTTTCCAAAGTTGTTCAGTGTTTAGTTTCTACCGAATGCCAACGTTGCCCCAACAACCTTTTTGACAATTTGGAAAGATAAAGGTGGAGATGCGGTTAGCAATGATGTCGCAGCATTTCCATCATGCTTGCTTGTTCATTTTGCATGATCTCAAACTCACTGATGTGGACCAATTTAAAATGAATTTACTGACATAAACACGAGCTCTTAGAGCTGTAATTGCCTGAGAAGGGGCAAGGATGCAGCATTTGAGTTCTTTGGTTCTGACATTAAAAGATGTTAAATATTTAAAGTAGTCAGGAGAACTGTAGCTTCATTTAAACACATGTAATGTCTATCAGAGTAATAACTCAATTGAGTTTGGTGGCAGTTTTGGTTATTTTGCGTAAGTTTATAGTGTCTGAGTTCTGGGGAGCCTGCAGTCTGCATAGTCTACTGTATTATGCACGCTGGAGATTGGCAGGAATGAAGTGGAAAAGGCAGTGTAGCAGGGTTTCTGGGCAGAGCCTGGCATGGCCTCAGGGTCAAATCCTCCCTCACCACTCGTTTAGCCGAATGATGTGCACATTCACTGACCTGTCTCTGGCTTAGTTTTCACAACTGTGAAACAGGGTTAGTGGTGCTCCGACTTTCACAGAGATGTTGTGGAGATTACACAGTTTTGTGTATGAAGTACCTAAAACAGAACTACTAAAGTATTTGCTCTTATACCTTCTATCAGTCTTCACTATTTTTCTTTGGGATGCATGCAATATTGTCAGAATAGCTAGAAAAACATACGATGAAGTCTGTAGTAAGTTTACCTCTATGGCATACAAAACTCAGTAGTTAAAGCTGGAATTGTGGCCTTTGTGTGTCCACCTGAGGAGACATTCCTCACTCCAGGGGAGAGGATTTCTAGGTGCAACCTGAGAGTGAGCTGAATAATAGTGAACAATGATGCTTAGGAAATGCGTCTTCCTAGGCCCAGCTGGGCAGAATTTCTGAGAGTGAGAATTGGCATTTTAACAACTGCCTGGGTTGGTTCTTACGGGGCTGATTTTGGGAACTCTGCAGCTGTTTGTGATTCCCTCGTCTCCTGTTGTAATCTCACTTCCACTCTTTCTCACTTTGAATGTCAGATGTCTTAACTTTCTCAAGTTCTGCCACATCTGTTCAAGGATTTGACTTTTTTTTTTTTTTTCAAAAATCTCAGTAACCAAGGTTTAAGTTACGGCCTTATTGTCCCTTCTTTCCATATCTAGGTATTTCTTTCCCACTATTTGTCCTAAGTGGAGTGGGAAATCATTCTACAGACTTTCACGAAAGATCTCCATGTGGCCGTGATCTGACTCAGAACTGCCTCGCCCATGAGAACCATGGGGGACTGTTTCTGAGCCTTGGTTTGCTTTTTTCCTTCCCGTGCTCTCATTGTTCCCCTTTGTTCTCCATGAAGGTTCCAGATTAGAAGACGGACACAGATTGCACCTAGTGAAGGAGGACTGTTGAATTTTTTCTCCCAAATCCCCTATCCTTAGGGCAGACTTACTTGGAGAGCAGAGACAGGTGCAAGACATGTTCTAGTCCTAAGTCTCCTTTCCTTTGACTCTGTCCAAACTCTGTATCTCGATCTATGGATTCTGCAGTTGAAAGCATGTGAAAGCTTGTTGGTCAATCTCACACTGCGTTGTTTCAATGTAGTTGACAGAGAAAACCTATTGATATCTAAAATATTTCAAGAATTCATGTATTTGGTGGTCCCTAAGTTGAACTATGTGTGGCTCTGTGGAAATACCACATGCATGAAAATTTTATCACTTCTTGGCCAAGGTAAAGATCAATAGGAAGAATTTTGGCTCCTGGTGTCTGTAGTGCAACTCCCTCTAAAATGCGTGAACTTAAACAAAATGCGTGAACTTGTTATGTTTGTGTGACTGCTCACATAGACCCATTGGAATCTTAATGACCCGTGAGGTAGATTGTTCACATGTGTAGAGGTGCATCTCCATCACAAAACAGCAGTGGTTTCAAGGGGCCACTGCAGTGCTGTACTGTTGAAAGCATTTGAATCACAGCGCTTAAAGTAGGAACAATATCTATGACTCATGAACACACACGTTGTGGGAAGAAAGCCATAGAGTTATGGAAAAGAAGGCAGTATTCACCCTGCTATTTGCTTAATTTGCTTATTTTAAAGCAGAATGGACATTTTCTAAGAAGTGATACTAGTGTTTTAACTAGTAAAGTGGAAGAAATTTAAGCTTTCAAAATTTATTTCTTCTTTGAAAAGATTAGCAATTCCTTGCAATAACTAAAATTTTTTTTAAAAATTCAAGACAAATTTATGGAAAAAGTGGGCATCAAGTAAGAAATCAATTTGTTATTAAAACTTTAGCATAAACAGTTTTAGTTTTGGCTAAGCCAAACCATTTCATTTGAGGAAAGTAGACTTTATCTGCTTTTCCTTGTTTTTCTTAGACTAATGTGTCAATAAGTTTTTAAATAAATTGATAAAGTTTACCTTATGAGTATTTTGACATAGAAGCTGAAGAAGAAAAAGTAATTACAGTCCAAATAGTAAAAGGAGAGCCATAAGAAGAGATACAGGTTTTACTGTGACTTCTGAGTTGAATTGTTTACTATTTGATGCATTTATGTCTTAGTTTTTTACTATGTAATAATGTATTCTGTATTTACATCTCTGGCCACAGGATCTAAAGAAAATGTAGTAGATACGTCTCATGATTTTTTTCTTTTTTCCTATAGGGATGCCCTCTGCATCTTTGTTAGTAAATCTTCTTTCAGTGTTACTCATCCCTTTTGTATTTGGAGAAACAGAAATAAGGTTTGCTGGACAAACAGAATTTGTTGTTAATGAAACAAGCACAACCGTTATTCGTGTTATCATTGAAAGAATAGGAGAGCCGGCAAATGTTACTGCACTTGTATCGGTAAGAAATGATTATAGCTTTTTGTAGAGTGTTTATTTAAATGAATGTTTAAAAGAAAAAATGGCAGTAAAAAAAAAAAAACCAGAAACCTAGTGTCTGTTAGACAATTTTTATGGATTTCTTTTATGGAGATAAAAGTTAAGTAGAATTTGTTAAACTATTGATTTACCTTTCATAGTTTAATTTTTGACCAATTGTGTGTACCATGTGTACATGTTTTTGTTTTCAATCAGAAAGTAATGTCATACAACAGCTGAAGGTATTGCTGTATTTATGGCTCAAGTACTTGAAGTTTTTGTTCACAAAAATAAAACTTTCATCAATAGGGTGAACTGCCACAATATGAAACACTATAGAAACAAAAAAAATAAGAAAAGCTACTTATGAAATCAACCCAATGTTACAATTTTGTATATTGCTTTTAGCTTGTATTTATGATATAGAGTATGTATTGAATTTATTTTTTAATTTAAGTATACATTCTGTTTGGTAACGTTTTCATATTATTTCAATTTTATCCTAATTTTTTTTTCACTTTTCTTGATCGTATCATCTTTAAGTCATCCAGTCAGCTCTCTGCTGTCTCACTGAGGTTGCTTCCAGTTTTGTTATGAATGTTACTGTGATGAAGCTGTTTATATATGTATCAATTTTGGCTTGTCAAATGATTTTTATAGCTTCATTTCTGTATTTTTCTATTTATTTCAGTGGCTCTTGGCACTGTGCCATTTTCTACAGTAATATGTGAGAATAAGTTTTGCAATACCTTTGACAATTTATTTTGACTTCTTTCTTTTTTTGTACTGGGGATTGAAATCAGGACCTTGCACTTGCAAGGCAGGTGTGATGCCACTGAGCTAAATCTCTGGCTATGTATTTAAAACATTTTATTTCTATAAATTAGGACTAGAAGTTTACTAAAATTTTCCTATACATTTTGTTCATTTCTTGTACTAAATCACATATATGTGAAAGAAATCTCATTTTATTTGCACAGTAAATTGCTACTTCATAATTTCAGAATTGCTACTTCCCTGAGAATCTTATTAGCAATGCTGATTTTACAGAACAGAATCTTAAAAAGTTAAGAAAAGTTTATAATTACTAAGAAGTTCAGCATGCTAAAAGAATTGGGTCTTAATTGGAATTGCTGTGGGGCAACATAAATACAATTTTGGGTGAGAATTTTAGAAAGAGCACTTTCTTTGAAACTAATTGGAAAAGGATTGATTTTCCTGCCAGCTCTCAGCAGGCTGCATCCACCTCTTTGTGAGAGTTTTAGCTGCAGTTCTTCTTGTTAGGGTCACTGTAGTCCACTACAGATCAACCAGAGAAAATCTACTGCATGACTTTTTAATGCAATTATTAGTTTCCTATGTATTTTTTATAATATAAATACATACTTTTATTGGAGCATTTATTCCTGCAAACTTTTGTTTTCTGAAGATGACTTTTGCCATCTGTGAAATATTTGTTTTTGTACATCCTACTGTAAATCTCAGTGCTACTTGGTTTTTGCATTTTCTTTCCATTGCTCCAATTAGTGTCAATTTTGCTTGTCCCAAGTCTGTGTTAAGTAGCAAAAACCACCTCTGTTTGCATTTGATAGCTGCATGGGGAAGATACTGGCGACTTTTTTGACACATATGCTGCAGCTTTTATACCTGCTGGAGAAACAAACAGGACAGTGTACATAGCAGTGTGTGACGATGACCTGCCAGAGCCGGATGAGACTTTTACTTTTCACTTAACATTACAGGTAGGTCCGTCTTCCTCCTTGGTCTTAAACTCTGCGTTTGTCTAGAATTGAGCCACTCAGGTTGTCGGCAGTGGTTTTCATAAACTGTCTGGCAAACCCAGTCTGTTTAGGAGGCCCTGTAGGTTTGGGTCCATTCAACTTGCTGGGAATTGCCAGGACAGATGCTGCAGAAAACCTTGACTTCCCTTTGGTCCTTTTCTCTGTTGTCCCTCTCCCACTACCAGATGCACAAAGAGTGACCATGACTTCAGAGTTCACAGGGGAAGGATACAAGAAAGCAAGCATGGAAGTGGGAGGGTCTTTGCTTAGAATAAATCCACAGTAACCCGGAAAAAAAGCGCTTGAGTTCATTGAACCTTGTGGCTTGATCTGTTGGGCTGAAGCACTGATTACTATAGCACCAGGAGAGTTACTGTTTCTGAAGGGCACTGCAACATTTTTAAAGAATAATTCTGTTAGTAGGATTGAAATTTTTATAAATATACTTGAAACAGTTATGTTTGCTTTTTTTCAATGTTTCTTTCTGCTGCTGTTCCAACAGAAACATGCAGAAAACTCTATAGTTTTTTTAGGAAAAATTGCTAAACATTTTATTTTTCATTTGGCTCACTGATTGTTGTAACAACTAATTTTTAAATACAGCATATTCTATAGTATACAAATCACATTTAATAGAATTTCATATTGCACATTTAAGTCTGTAAAAGAGTAAGGACACTGTAGTACTTGTAACATAATTTACAATATATTATTAGCTGTTATTATACAGTTATATATTATTAAAAGTGATGGTTTAAGAAATTCTCACTTGGGATTTCTTTAAGATGTTGACTTAACTTGAATATGTTTTCTTAATCTGTGCATTGAAAGAGGCAAATTTTTTCATAGTCAAAATAATTGCTTGAATACAAATTTTATTGAAATGATTATTCTTATTCTACTGTTTTCATTTGTTACTTTATTTTTGATCTTGTCTCTTAGAAACCTTCAGCAAACCTGAAGCTTGGTTGGCCAAGGACTGTTACTGTAACAATACTATCAAATGACAATGCATTTGGAGTTATTTCATTTAATATGGTACGGTTACAATTTGAAGAGTCTCATAGTTGTTACGTACTAGTACATTAACTTTCGATTACTTTTCATGTTCATGTCATCCTGTCTTTTGATTTTTAAATAAAACTGGCACTAGCCCCATCCTATCCCACATTCTGTAGACCTTCCATTTGTTTTACCTGAGATTTTTGCAAATTGAAGAGGCGTCCATGACCACGATCATGGTCACCCCTTTTCATAATTTCTTTCTGCTAATTGTTCCCCTTGACTCATTTGTTCCCTATTTTGGTCTGCAGCTCTAATGTGCTTTTGGCTTGATTCCTCCAAATAGTGCTTAAAGTAAGCACTGTCCCCTTATTAGACCCTTCTGAATGTTTGGGGTGATGATGAAATGAGAAAATACATCGAAAGAATATCAACCACCTATAATACTTAAAATTAGGTAGCAGATGTTACAACTCTGGAAAGATCAACAGTCAGTGCGTGCCCTAACATTTCCCAACTGATATCTATTTCATGAACTCCATGACCCGCCTACCCAGTTTCACTTTACTTTCTCTCCCTTAATACCAAATTCCTGTCCTGTGCTTTTGGCCAGTCTCATGTTCAGAGGATTTTAGCTTTCGAAATAAACATAGAAGATGAGTCTCTCCTTGAGAGAATTGTTTCCAGCTCTTAAAAACAAAGCATTTATAAGCTAAGTTTTAGGCTTCAGTAACATTCCTGATAGTCTTGAAAAAAAATTATAATGTATCATTATTACAATGTGATGCCATACTTCCCAGCTTATTTATTTTCTGGTTTAGATCACTGCGATAATTGATTGCTTTGTATGTCATTTTCTTAGTGCCTTATCTTTTTTTTTTTCTTTGTTGGTAGATTTTAGGTATACAGTACAGTAACATTCATCATTGGGATCTTGTACCTTTACATGATGTAGCTTGGTTCTTATTTTTTCCCCATTCCCTGGCCTCCCTTTACCTGCTCCACCCTTCCCTATTCACAAAAACTTTGTTTCCGATTTTTTCCTTTTCTCTTATTTTTTCTGTTTTTTCCTACCTTTCTCCTGCCCCTCCCACTTCCCCTATACCATTAGACCTTTTTTCTTGTTATACAACATCAATTATACATTTTGATTCTTATTTACACTTTTAATCACACCAGAGAAACTATTTGGTATTTACAGACGTGTGTACTGTTAATTTCACTTAAGAGTATGTCCTCAATGTGCATCCACTTAGCTATAAATGTTTGTAGTTTCTCATTCTTTATGGTGGAGTAGTTCTCCATTTTATTAAAAAAAAAATCTTCTTTATCCAGTCTCCAGTTGAGGGGCAATTAGGCTGTTTCCAAGCTTTAGCTGTTATAAACTGTGCCACTATAAATATGGGTGAGCATATATCACTGTGGTATGATTCTTTTAGTTCTTTTGAGAAGATAACCAGCAGAGGGATAGCTGGGTCAAGTGGGACTTCTAGTCCTAGTTGTTTAAGGTATCTCCATATTGATTTCCACAGTGGTTGCACCAGTCTGCACTCCCCCCAACAATGGAGAAGGGTTCCTTTCTCCCCAAGCCTTGCCAACATTTATTATTGGTTGATTTTCTGATAGCAGCCATTCTTTCTGGGGTGAAGTGGAATCTCAGTGTTGTTTTCATCTGCATCTCTTAGATGACCAGTGATGTTGAGCATTTTTTAATATGTTTATTTGCTGCTTTTATTTATTTCTTTGAGAAATGTCTGTTCATTTCGGATGCCCATTTTGAATTGGGTCTTTATGTTTGGAGGGGTCTGATTTTTTTTTAATTCTTTATATATTATGGGTAGTAGACCTTTGACTGAGGAACAGCTGGTAAATTTTTTTCCCACATTGTAGGTTATCTCTTAGCTCTGTTGGTGGTTTCTCTTACAGTGCAGAAGCTTTTTAAAAAGATGAGATCCCAGTTGTTGATTCTCTGTGCTAGTTCCCATGTAACTGAGGATTTGTTCCTCACGTCTTTTCCTATGCCAGTGTCTTCAAGAGTTCTACCTTAATTTATTTTCCATAAGTTTAATGTTTCTGTTTTGATATTTAGATCTTCATTCCACTTCGATTTACTTTAGTAAAGATAGGTGTCTACTTTTATCTTTGGCAGGTTGATATCCAGTTTTTCCAACACCATTTATTAAAGAGGCTATCTTTCCTCTAGTGAGAATAGTTGGCTCCTTTGTCAAAGATGAGGTAGCTGAGCATGTCTGGAGTTGTTTCTGCATCTTCTAATCTGTTCCACTGATCCTTGGGTCTATTTCTTTGCCAGTGCCCTGCTGTTTTTAACACAGTGGCTTTGTATTATAGTTTCAAGTTGGGGATTGTGATACCCCGCTGCCATGTCTCTGTTGCCCTGAATGGCTTTTGCTATTTTAGGTCTCTTCTGGTTCCAAATACATTTTTGGATTTCTTTCTCTAGTTCTGTGAAATATACTGTTGGGATTTCAATCGGGATTGCTTTGAATCTGTATAGCAGTTTTGGAAGTAGGGCTATTTTCACTATATTAGTTCTTCCTACCCAGGAATAAGTAATATCTTTCCATTTTCTTATACCTTCTTCAGTCTCTTTCAGAGTGCTGTAGTTCTCAATGTAGAGGTCTTTTGCTTCCTTCGTTAGATTGATTCCTAGATAATTCATTTTTTTTGGATGCTATTGTGAAGGTACTTTTTCCCTAGATTCTCTCTCAGTGAGTCTGTTATTTGTGTACAAGAAGGCTATTGATTTTTGAGTGTTGAGCCTATGTTCAGCTACGCTACTGAATCTTATCAATTAAGTCTAGAAGTCTTTTGGTGGAGTTTTTTGGGTCTTCTATGTATAGTATCATGTTGTCAGCAAATAATGACAGTTTCACTTCTTCCTTTCCTATCTTTATTCCTTTCATTTCTTTCTCTTGTCTAATTGCTGTGGGTAATGTTTCCAAAACTATATTGAACAGGAATGGTGATAGTGGGCATCCTTGTCTTGTTCCTGATTGTAGAGTGAAGGTTTTCAGTTTTTGGCTATTTAATATGATGTTAAGCTGTCGGGTTTTCATAGATAACCTTTATCAAGTTGAGATAAAGACCATCTATTCCAATTTTCTGCAGGTTTTTTTTTTTTAATCAGGAATGGGTGTTGTTTTTGTCAAATGCTTTTTCTGCATCTATTGAGATGATCATATGGTTTTTGCCCTTGACTCTGTTAATATAATGTATTACATTTCTTGATTTACGTATGTTGAACCATCCTTGCATCCCTGGTATAAATTCAACTTGGTCAGGGTGTGTGATCTTGATGACCCTCTGTATTTTGTTTGCCAATATTTTATTGAGGATTTTTGCATCTGTGTTCATGAGGGAGATTGGCCTGTAGTTCTCTTTTTTGATTCTTTCCTTGGTTTTGGAATCAAAATAAAATTTGCTTCTAGGAATGAATTTGGAAGTGTTGCTTCCCTTTCAATTTCATTGAAGAGTTTAAAAAGTAGTGGCAGTAGTTCTTCTCAATATTTTGTAGAATTCAGCAATGAAACCATCAGGATCTGTGCTTTTCTTTGTTGGTATACTTTTAATTATGTTTTCAATTTCTCTGGTAATTGGGATGTTTAGAAGTTTTTATATCTTCTTTATTCAACTTTGGCAATTTATATGTAGTCTAAAAATCTGTTTATTTTTTCTATATTTTCCATTTTATTGGAGTACAAGTTCTTGAAGTAGGTATTGATGATCCTTTGGATTTCTCCTGGATCTGTTGTGACTTCCTTATCTTTGAATTACAATGAGCTGTATGAGCTTTATAGTTGCATTATCTTCATTGAAAAGAGTATTTGCTAACCACAATTTAATAGGTAGATATTTATTAACCTGAATTCCATTGTCACAAGCATTAATGAAAGTAATCAGTGTTTTTATGTGAGTGAAAGGTAATTGGTTGGGAACAGCTCATGTTAGGTTCTAGGTAAGCACTCAGGATATATTATCAGAGTTGAATCTCATCAAGCCCTTTGGGCCAGGGGTCCCTAGCTCCATCTGTGGGTGAGATATTAAAACTTAGTGCCACCTTGAGAGGTGGCTGCTGCTCACCCCTCCTCTTCTGCCCTGGACTTCTGTCTGCCAATGTTGAGTTTTAACATTTGAAGTTCTTACTCTTGCTTCTGGCAGTGGTTGCACCCTGCGGGTCATTATCAGTGTGCTTTTCAGTGGAGGCTGGCTGGTGAGAGGGAGGGGTGGTAGAAGCAGCCCGAGGGTCTCCTAGTGGCCACTGCCTTGCTCAGGAGGCTCTACTCAGCTCTGGGGCTCCAGGGTCCTCTGGAGGCATTTAATGTACCTGCTTTCAGCTAGGTCACCTTTAAGATTCCTTAGTGGATGGATCTTGGGTGGTAGATTTGGTACAAGAACCGACCTGCCTGGTTAGTTTTATGTTCCCTTTACAATATTATTTTTAAAAATCTCAGCAGTTTTATTAGCTACAGTGAATTGATGCTAGAAATACCATTTTTCCCACAGTGCAATATGGATTGATTTGCCTGTGGGGATTGTAGTATTTAAAGTAACATGTTTTTACCACCTCTAACCTCCAATTGATAAACCCCTGATTGGCTGTGCTCCTCCAACAGCCCTCATCAGTCACAGCGAGGGAGCCCAGGGGCAGAAACGAGTCTGTGCCTCTCACTCTCATCAGGGAGAAGGGGACCTATGGGACGGTCACTGTAGCCTTTGAGGTAAGTTTACCTAGAAATCACCTTAAAGGGTGAGCTGCAGAGGCCATATCAGATGGCTGTCATTTTAAAAATAAAGTCTCTTTGTACAATGAACACTTAATAAAAATACCTTTGCTATCTGATAAATTTCATAGTTAATATAAACATATATTCCTTGCTACTTGCATGTATTATGTTTACATAAAAAAGTATTTTATATATGGGGCCATACTAAATCACATAAGAGAATAATAATTGTTAATTTTGTAAAATTTGTAGAACCTTCATGGTAAACATTTTCAAGGATTTAAAAATACTTGTGGATTATTTAAGTTTGCATAAAATTATTTTCTATGTAGCCTTCCCCTGTTTTCCCCAAGACACTCAGTGGATGTGTTAACAGCAGTTGCCTTTGACACGGAGACTCACGGGTACAATGGCGTGGGTGAGCGGGGCTGTGGGTAGGGCATTTCCCAGGTGCTCATTCTGTTCATTTTATCTCTCACTGAACATCGTGTCACCACACTGCTCTATGAAATTCTCGTTTCAAGTTTTGAATGATTTCTTTCTTTGCATTTGATCAAAAACAGTTTTCAAACCTTAGAGTATTAGAAAGTTCCTAACCAGTTTCTGTCATAATTATTAATTGCAAGGGTGACTACTTGGATATATGTAACATGGTTCTGTTGTAGCATTGAAGAGTTCTGTTTATCACAGTAAAGCATAAAATATGTAGTAAAAACCAACTAAATATACAGCACTCTTACAAGTTCTTTATAGGAAGCCTCAAGCAGTTGCTCATATACTTAAGGTAATAAATTTTTGAAGATACTTCTAAAAATAAATACAGAAAATTAGAAAATAATTTGGCTATAGAAAGGATATACTATCAAAGTTATAGTATTTTCAAATAGTCTGTGTGTGTTAGTCTTTGTTTTGTTTAAATAATTGTAGATGATATTTGTGGAACACTTTCTGCTGACAGGCACTGATCTGTGTGCCTTACGATGATTGTTACTGCTTACAAGCAGTCTTCTCCAGCACTCATGATCTTACGATCTTCTTATGATCTTGTGATCTTCTTAGAGTTTTTCTTCATAACATTTGCCACGATCTAGCACATGCACATATATTTGCTAATCTTTTGTTCTCCATTAACTGTAAGTCCCATGTAGAAGGGGCTTTGCTTTGTCCACTGCTGTGTTCTTAGTAGTAGCTGAAAAAGACCAAGCACTGGAGTACTCAGTATTTTTTTTTTTTTTTTTTTTTTTTTGGTACCGGGGATTGAACTTGAGTCCTTGTGCTTGCAAGGCAGGCCACCGAACCGCTGAGCTAAATCCCTGGCCAGTATTTTTTGAAATAATGATTTTATTAGATCTTCACAACCAGTCTGCAAAAATGGAAATTCTTATGCTCATTTTAAAAATGAGTAAAATGCTGCACAGAGTTGTTAAATAACTAAGAGTCCCATGGTCAGTGGTGGAACTGATTTGTATTTGATCCCATCTTCTTTAGGGAATTTACTGATCTTGAATACCCTTCCTCTCAAGAAGAAATACTTATAGAGTCTCCCTCTTAGGCTTAATATAATGGTTGAAAAAAATATCTTAGAAACTATATAGTTGAACATAATTATGGGCAAGATATATAGTTACATTATAGACATTGACTGTAAATTAGAAGGTTAGTCTTACGTACAAGCTTGTGCAATTTTTACAGAGTTTCTTTAAGAATACTTGCAATTATTGTCCGCTGGCACCACTGTAATGCTTTACCTGTCTTGTGAAATACTTTGTATTTACTGAGAGCATCAGTACTGAGGGCACATACTTCTTTGCAGGTAGAAGGTGGCCCAAACCCCCCTGAAGAAGATTTGAGTCCAATTAGCGGAAATATCACTTTCCCCCCAGGCAGAGCAACAATAACTTACAACTTGACAGTGCTTGATGATGAGGTGAGATACTGTTAAATGCTCAGAGGTGACAAGGACTCAGTGTTATAGACCACGTTTGATAATCTATGTGATATATCCTAGTGTTTGAAGTTATTCAAGAATACAGTCTTTTGTAAATTAGTACTATAATTTATAAATTAAGGCCAATCATACTTTAGCTATTTTGGGGATATAGTTTATTATTATTTACTTTACTTATTTCCCATTAAATTGCACATATAAGCTGGGGAATGTAGCTCAGTGGTAGAGCATTTGCGTAACATATTTGAGGTCATGGGTTCAAACTCTAGTAACACAAACAAAAAATATGCATTTAAAATGATGAACAGTTATATAACTGATGCACACATAACACAAAACTTTAAGCATCTGAACTCTGATATTTGATTTTTGTTAGTGATTTCATGTATGATGGGAGCAGTGCTGCTTACATAGCATAAACATTTTATTATAAAAGCAAGAAAATTCTATTGCAATTGATATTTTTGTTTGCAAATTTAAAATGTTCACAGTCATAGGAGGAATTTTACTTTGGCTTAGTTAGCTTTTCTATTCTTATCTAAAATAGATTATTTTTTGAAAATATTTTAGTCAGTGGAGAATAAACGAGCCTTTTGCTCCCTTCAGTTAAAGATTGCTTTATATTTATAGAATTCTGTTGAAACACAGTGCCTTTTTATACTTTGATTTCTTTGCAGATCTTTTGACTGTTGATGTTTTACCATTGTTTATGTTCAACAGGTACCAGAGAATGATGAAATATTTTTGATTCAACTCAAAAGTGTAGAAGGAGGAGCTGAGATTAACATCTCTAGGAATTCAGTTGAGATCATCATCAAGAAAAATGATGCTCCCGTGAGGTTCTTCCAGAGCATTTATTTGGTATCTGAGGATGATCACACGCTTACAATTCCAGTGGTTCGTGGAAAGGATAACAATGGAAATCTGATTGGATCTGATGAATATGAAGTTTCAATCAGATACACAGTTATCACTGGGAATTCAACAGCACATGCCCAGCAAAATTTAGACTTCATTGATCTTCAACCAAATGCAACTATTGTTTTTCCACCTTTTGTTCATGAGTCACATCTGAAATTTCAAATAGTTGATGATGCCATACCAGAGATTGCTGAGTCCTTTCACATTGCGTTACTGAAGGGTACCTTACAGGGAGATGCTGTGCTAATAGGGCCTTCTGTCGTGCAAGTCACCATTAAGCCAAATGACAAACCTTATGGCGTCCTCTCTTTCAACAGTATCCTGTTTGAAAGGCCAGTTATAATCAATGAAGATACCACATCAAGGTATGGTTCATATCAATCCTGTTGCTACAATTATTTTACTATATTATTACAGGATTTAATTTTTGTGATGTTAGACAATGCTGAACTGTTAGTTTTGTCCTTTTCTCTACCTTGACGTCACTGTATTCTTTATATTTTGAGTACAGTTTCAGTATGCATGTGAATTCCTATTGCAGTAGTTTCTTAGGAGACATCCACGCATCCACTCCTTCACACTGAGAAAAATCAATTTTGGGTCACGTCTTGTGCTCTCACCAGTGTCTGACGGCCAACTCAGCATTGGGAGAGCCTGTCCAAGGGAAACGTAGAGTGTGTAACGTGACAAGATGCATTCCTCTCAAACATTTCTAGATTTGAAGACATTTCAGTGGTTAGAAATGGTGGCACCCATGGGGATGTCTCTGTGAGCTGGGTGTTGACACGGAATAGCAGTGACCCCTCACCGGTGACCGATGACATCAGGCCAAGCTCTGGGGTTCTCCACTTCGCCCAAGGGCAGATGTCGGCCTCGGTTTCTTTGACCGTCATTGAGGACGACCTCCCGGAAGAGGCTGAAGCTTATCTACTTAGAATCCTGCCCCACACTACCCGAGGCGGTGCCGAAGTGAGCGAACCAGCGGAGGTAGAGCTCTCCTTATGCTTTTCTCCTGTCACCTTTCCTGTGCTGTAGAAGAACCAAAACCAAATATAATCAAATTTATGTTTAGTTCAGTGTGATGCGAAGAGCACTGAAAATGAGGCTGGCTTCTCTTGTTCAGCATTGTTTCTCCTGCAAGTAAATGTTTTGCTCCTTTTCTTGTGGTGGATTTGGAGATCCATTCCAGGGCCTTGTGCATGCTAGGCAGGTGCCTCACCTCACAGCCGCACCCCCGGCTTCCATACTGTCCTGTCCAATAAGCTTTACAAATTATAATGAGGAAATTGTCCAGATTTTAAAATTCCTTCACTCTCTTACGTATGAGAAGTGATCATTTTAGACGTGATATATAAATGGATACTGCTCATCAAAATAGCCTAGAGAATCTCAGGTGTGAGAATTCTGCACTAATATTCTGTCTCATCTGCAGCTTTTGTTCTACATCCAGGACAGTGATGATGTTTATGGATTGATAACATTTTTTCCTATGGAAAACCAAAGGATTGAAAGCAGTCCGGGTGAACGGTGCTTGTCCTTGAGTTTTACAAGACTAGGCGGAACTAAAGGAGATGTGCGGGTGCTCTATTCTGCACTCTACATTCCTCCTGGAGCTGTGGACCCTTTGAGAGCGAAAGATGGCATCTTAAATACATCCAGGGGAAACAGCCTCATCTTCCCAGAGCATAAAACCCAAGTTGTGAAAAAATTACCAATAAGAAATGATGCATTCCTTCAAAATGGGGCCCACTTCCTAGTGCAGGTAATTGCGTGTTTAAAATCATCTCGGTTTTGGTCACACTGTGCATACATTTATCTATATGAGTTTGCCAACAGTTATTTTGCTCTCATTCATATTTTAGATTTTATTTATTATTTAAAGTTATTTAGGAAATCAGAGGAGACTGTGCCTCTCCTGAGATACATAATCTTGGATGAGACAATGGTTCTACTAAAATTAGTGTTGATACTTAAAGTTAATCAGACATGAGGGGCGAAGTACATTGTCGTGGATGACATAACGGAGTAACAGACTTTGATAGAGAGGGACAGGCCAGAGAGATTCACCATTCTTTTGAGTTAAATTAGGAAAATGAGGTTTATGGAATAAATGTGTTTCACAATAGATGCTATAGGAGGACATTTCAGAATTTTAAAAAAAGCAATATGAAAATGGTTTTCTTTTAAATAATATACTCAAGAAAATATTTCCTTATATGTAAGCTGTAGATAGATGCTTTGGAGTTTTAGCCAATTAATAAGAAATAAGGACCCATGATTGTATCCTTCCATCTCATCACTCTTCTTGCTCAACTTCTTATTAACTAAAACATTTTTATTATCAAAGTTTAAAGTAGTTGCATTCAGTTATGTTTTTCATGTGCTGATATTGGCTGGTTCTGAAAATTAGAAAGCAATCAAATTAAATAATTTAGATTATTTAAATATATTTATATAGAATCAGGTAGTATGTATAGATCCATACATTTAAAATCTTATTTCACTATTCATTTTTCCACCTGAAGTATGTATTAAATGAAATAATATTCCATTAATTTCTTTGAACTGTGCCAGCCACATTTACATTTATTTCATATTTTTGTGTAGATTTGTTGTTGCTTTCTCTGGTGTGTCTGTCTCCTTTCTATATTGTCACCCTCTCTCTGCTCCTGAGCTCTTCTGGCTGTCTTATATGTTTTTGTTGAAGTATCATCTTTTTTAGTGCTTTTTTTGCCTGCTTGAAACATTTTTTTTACTGAATTCTTTAATTTCTTGATCTCTTGCCTTTCCTGAAAGGAACTGTGTTTCAGTTTATTGAGATAGACGCATGCAGAAAGGGTACTGCAAGGTCAACTTGCTGGGTCTTTGAGCAGTTTAAGCTGTGAAATTTTATACTCACATGGATAATTTGGCTTCATTGACATCCGTAGATGAAACTAATTTCTTCAGCCCTTGAAAAGGTATTTCTTTTAGCTTCTAGAGTTCCTGATGAAAAGTCTGAAAGGAGTGAAACGCTTGACCCTTGAGGGGAGTGGCTTTTACCTGTGGAAGCCCGTTAGAGTGTCTCCTAGGGAGTGTCCTTGCACAGCTCTCTGTGGGGCTGGCTCTCCCTTTGGAAGGCTCCTGTCTTTCTGAAGCTGAGCTATTGCTCATTCCTGTGCCCGGTGCATTCCAGGAAGACTCTTGGCCAAGGGGCCTAGGGGTGGCTCGCTGCAGGGACAGCTGATCTGTCAGAGTGTAGCCTCTTTGCAGTCTCCCTGTTAGGCGGGAGGCCTTTGTCCTCTCACTACCATCACTAATGTTGGGGGATCCTAATCTTGCTGTTCATTATCATCATTATTATTACTTGGTTGTGCCTCCTGCAGGTGTTTTTGGTGTGATGAATGCTCCGGCCTATGATGAGAACCTCCACCCTGGAGGGCCCTTGGATTTCTCATGGACGGCTATGTGTCCAGAGCACAGCTTCCTTCACTGCTGTGGCCCTCTCCTCTGAGGCTTGTGGGATGCCCTCGGGAGAGGCCAGAGAATGCAGGTGGCAGGAACACTGGATCTCTAAAGTGGAAAAGGGCAGATGGCCAAGCCCAGGACTAGGGCCCTGTTGAGCAAGAAGTTAAAGTAACCAGAGCGCTGTGGCCAAATCACACTTAGACATGTAGTTCAACAATTAAACAATAACAACTTTAAGTTTGCCTTTCTACAAAATACATGCTATAACTCATTTGGTTTCTAAATTGATTCTGTTGAATGGAAAAGCACACTAACTTCACCGGTTCACACTTAACGTAACTTTTCCCAAATTTTCCAGAGTTTCTGGGACATGACTTGTGTGGAATTTCAGGATTTACTGTTCTGCTTTTATTTGGGTACTGGGAATCAAACTTGGGACCTTGTGCTTGCAAGGCAAGTGGCAGAATTGTTCTGCTTTTGACGCCAGTGCTCTTGCTTTCCTCTCTGCTATCTGTGCCCTGTGGATTCTAACAATACTTACGGTCATTTTTTCCTCACTTCTCAGTGTTCATTCAGTTCTCCCCTGTCTCTGCCCTTGCATAGGCTACAACTCATGTGAAAAGCAAATCATGAAAACACATGGGATGAGGCAGATGTGTTACATTTGTTTTATTTTCACCAGTCTGGGCATCCTGGCCAGCTGGAGTAGTTTCAGTCCTGTGATATAAATGAGCACTATTGATGCAGAAACGTGGCTTTGGAGTTGCAGTTTTCCATTCTGGCTTTCTAATTTCTTTTCTTGTGTTGCCTCAGAACCAGGTTTTAGTGTGGATAGAGAGCTCGGTGTGTATGCTAATATCAGTAACCTTAAAATATAAAAAATATCCAATATTTTGAAAATATCCAATAGTTATTTCAAAGTAACTGCAGAGAATTTTTATATAAAGGAAACGTGGTTAAGAACTTCCTAAGGGTCAAATATAATTGAGTTTCACTTCACTGTCCTCTATAAAAATGACTGAATTTGCTTCTGATGGCCCTTGAAGACTAAGGGAACTGGTAGAAGGATGTGATGCCTGAGTTTTGGTGATCTTGATTGGGAAGTTGTTTGCAGTGCAACTTCCAGACTCTCTTGTTTGTGTATCTCTCCATTCATTTAAGAAACAAAAGGCTCCCAGGGCAGACAGTTAATATAACACCAGGGGATTAAAAAGGCCTATTAGTCACTGACATGATTCCTTGGAGCTAAAACAGCTGTAGGCTCTGGAGAACTGGAAGGAGCACAGTGCTTGAGAGGTTTGCACGGTGCATAATGGAAGCACAACCCAAGAGCAAGAGTACGAGACTGCGTGGAAGGCTGAAGGCGAGAGAAGAAAGGAGAACTGAGCCGTGTGCTCGTCATTCCGTAGTGACCTGCTCAGCTGAGTCCATCGGTTTGAGATTCAGCTTTGGGCAGCCCTTGGGAGACCCGTGTGCTGTCCTGCAGCACAGGGTCGGAATGTGAAGAATGATTCTTCACGAGCCAATGGAGCAGTTGCACAGTTTGACTTAGCAGATGCTTAAGGAACCTGGACCAAAAAAAAAGCTTACAGACTAGGAAATGAGCCACGCTGATGTAAAATTAGCATTTCTGATCAGTTTGTTTCATAAAGTTTGTACAATTTCTTGTATTTTTTCAAAAAATACTACTTCTAGAATTAATTTTATCCTTTTTTCTGATAAACACTTCAGCGTTACAAAGCGTAACGGAGAGATCTGCAGAATAGGAGATCGGTCACGTTTCTTTAAGTTTATTGCATTTTAACTTAAAATCCTTGTGGTTTTTACAGTTCTATAATGATTCTGTATTGCTGCATACTTCTAGTAACACTGAGTGTGCTTATAAGTTGGATTTTGGAAAGTTAGAATATCTGAGAGGCTGAAGGTCTGTGCTACGTTAGGAGTCCTATGGTGCTTGGTTTGTGTTGGAGGGATGAAGTGAAGAACGCTAACTGTAGCTGCTGCGGTTTCAGGTCCATGTCACATATTGGGAAAATGCTGAGAAGGCTGTAGACCCTCAGAGTTTGACAGGAAGGTTAGGGACCATAAACCCAGTAACAATGATGAAGAAGCAACATTGAGGTTCCTAATAAGTCCTGTGTTTAACGAGACAGCAGTAGAACTTCTCAGTGAGACTGAGAGGACTGGACAATCCAAGGAGATCTTCCTAGAAGACAGGTAGGCTTAGCTGATTATGAAGAGTACATAGTCTTTGGACTTAGATAATAATAATAATTGAAGATCAGATTGAAAGGGAAAGGCAAATGAGGGAGGAAGAGAATGAAGTTGTCAAGTTATCAGTGGCCTTTACCCATGTTTACTGTCATCCAGTGCTATTAAAGGTTTTTCTTAAAAATGTTTTATCCTATCTGTTCATATTATTTTATTTGTTTATTATAGTTGGAAACTGTGGTTTTGCTGAACATATTTCCTCCAATTCCACCTGTAAGTCCTAGATTTGGGGAAATCCAAAATACTTCTTTATTGGTTACTCCAGCCATTGCAAATGGAGAAATTGGCTTTATTAGCAATCTTCCGATCATTTTGCATGAACCAGAAGACTCTGCGACTGAAGTGGTAAGTAGGCTCTTTATTGCTGATGAGGTCTAATGAGTTTAGGTTGCACATGTTGTGTGTTAACTCTCTGAGGTTGGGACGTGATACCTAAGCGACACAACTTAAAGAAGGAAGGATTTATTTTGGCCCACAGTTTCAGTCGGCTGGCTCCATTGCTTTTAGGCTGAAGCATCATGGTGGAAGGGCATGGGAGAGAAAAGCTGCTGACATCATGGCAGCCAGGAAGCAGAGAGGGAAGGTGAGAACCAGGGAAAGGTATTCTCTTCAAAGCACACCCTCCATGGCTTACTTCCTCCAACAGGCCCTGCCTCCTAGACTACACTTATCCATCAGTGGGCTGGTCCACCAGCACCCTCACGGTCTCGTCTTAATCCAGTCAAGTCAGCAATCACTTAACTATCACAGTATGGACACTATTCTTTATAGGGTTGGCATATAAAGTTAATCTTTATATTGGAAAGATCTTGGAAAGCGTCACCATTTACAGCGGGTCTTCAATATGTAATTTAACACAAGTCACTAATGAATGTGTGATTTTTCCATCACTTTTCCTCTATTTGCTACAATAAAATTAGAATTAATTGCTCATGGTAAGAGTAGGATGTTTACATGGGACTATTTTCAAATAGTACCATGGCATGTGACAATGATAGTGAACATAAATCAGTTTTTTAATGTTCAGGTTGTGGTAGCACAGGTATTCTTGACCTGCTGCATATCAGGGGTCCACACCCTGGCCTTGGGTAGGATGGCAGTGGTGGCCTTGTGTTCTGTGCTTGATGCTGGAGGCCATAGTGATACAGTTGTGAAACACTGAAACTTTGGAATTTTTAAAATGTAATACGTGTGCTTTTTGTGTGTGTGTGGGGGGGACCGGGGATCAAACTCAGGACTTTGCACTTACATTTTTGCATACACACATATAAGCAGAGTCACATACAGAGCAGCCACACACATCTGTTTCAGCTTTTTTTCCAAGCCTCCGCCTATCAAGGGACAGCTCTCTTTCTGCCTTACCAACCCATGGGCCACAATCTGTCTCAGACCCTCTCCAAGCCCCGCACACTTAGATTTTATTTAAATTGGGTTGAAACTTAGACCAGGAGTGAGGAGAGTTTGTTATCAAAGCCTCACATCTGAATATGCTGCCCGCAGCTTCCTTTGTATATTAGATTCTGTAAATGGGCAGAAAAACACATTTTTCAAAATAGTTTGATTTTCCATACTTCTTAAACTATTTCCTTAAAAAACTAAAAAAAATTTGTTCTTCGAAGAGTGGGTTGTTTTTATTTATCTTATAAAGCTGTACATTTACCATTTCAGCTTTTTCCCTTGAGAGAAGTTAACTTTTAGGAAAAGTTTGGGGCTCCTTACATCTGCATTTGTCCTCTCTTAGGAAATAGCATTAAAATTAGGAGTTTTCCTTTTCTCACTTTGGTTGTGCGCTTCCCCAGGTGGGGTAGGGCCAGCCCGGTTAGTCTTGTCTCCTCTGAGAATCTTACCTGGCTCACTGGTCTCAGATTCTTACCATGACTGGTCAGAGTAGTGGAAGGGTCAGTGCTGAACATATTTGTGTGTGTGTGTGTATGTGTGTGTGTGTGTGTGTGTCCCAAGATGTGTGTCAAAGGCAAAGAAAAAGGATGATGACACTTTTAGGAGTATAAAATAGCATATTTTATATTTGCTTTATTGTTTCATTGAATATTTGTTTCATTGAAAAGACTTTACCATGTATAGTGAGTCTTTTAAATTGTATATATTTAAAGTGTAGTACATTTGAACCAAACGACCAAGTCTGATTTAAGAATTAGCACCCATTTATGTAGCTTGTACTATTGAGAGACAGTATTCTAGAAGCTTTAAACTATCTCTTAACTTTATAATAAGCTTGTGAAATTGGGAATCACTAGCTTCAGTATGCATCAGAAAATCAAAGTCATGCTAAGTAACTTGCCCAAGGTAACCAGGAGCTGCTATACACTATCTGATTTTATTTTTGCTCTGTATGTAGTACTGGTTAGAAACATTTTCTTATTTTACCCCCTATCACTTTAGGATGCATTTCATATAACATAATTTTCCAGTTTTAATTCTGAAAGTTAATTTTTCAGTTTACATTTTGATGTTATTGCTTCTTTTTCCCAGAGAATCTCTGATGGAACATTATTCTTTAAGCAGGATTGATCCTTTTCATGATGTTTTGGCTTTCCAAGTCTTACAAGTTTTTGTGTGGGAGTGACCTGATAGATAAATTTGATTAACAAAACTAAAAAAAAAAAATCTAAAATTGTCTGCATGCTTTGAGAGGGTCTTTTCAAATGTGTTTTTGATGTTATTCAATAGTTTACGTCTCTGGAGTCCACAAATTCACCTTATGGTACTGCATGCACTGAATGCATTGAGCATATATTTTAGCAGAAATCGTTCTGTGTGTTTGCTTTGCTTTGTTCTTATAAGGTATATGTTCCTCTGCATCGGGATGGAACTGATGGCCAGGCTACTGTCTACTGGAGTTTGAAGCCCTCTGGCTTTAATTCACAAGCAGTCACCATGGATGATATCGGTCCCTTTAATGGCTCTGTTGCATTTTTATCTGGGCAAAGTGACACAACAATCAACATTACTGTCAAAGGCGATGACATACCAGAAATGAATGAAACTGTAACACTTTCTTTAGACAGGTAATAATCCACTTAGGTACTGTTTAGTAGCATTTATATGTTTGAGTTCTAAATAATTTTGTTTTTGTTTTAATTGTTTTCTCTATATGAAATTAAAATATCACAAGATCCCAGTAATGAACGTAACTGTACTGTCTACCTAGAATATACCAATAAATTCAATAAAAAAAGGTACAAGATCCCAATGATCAGTGTAACTGTACTGTATACCCCCAAAGTACCAATAAACTCAGTGAGAGAAAAAAAAAGAAATTAAAATATCAAATAGTGTTATGCTGAATTTTGTTATTTATTGATGGCTTCTGGTGAGACTGAATGCTATTATATCTTTCAGTTAACTTTTACCTTGCTATTTGGCATGGAGCGTTAGAGAATTTATGGGGAATATCAGATGTATTTGAAGCATGGGCAATACACTGCAATATCTTTAAAAGACAGGAAAACATCCAAAATGCTAATTTAAGCAAAGAGCTATGGTGGTTTCATTTTCAATAGGGGGAGAGAGGATCAGAGCTTTCTTGGATAAAAAGAAAGCATTAATCTTCATTATTTTTACGTTGAATTTAAAGACTAATATTTGCTTTTTAGACAGCTAAAATGACATAGATTTGAAGGATACTTTTCAGTTATACAGGAAGTTTCTTAGAATCTCTTGGAGACAATGTCCTTTATGTTACTATCACAGTCTCTTAAGAGAGTTTTTTCACTGGGGGTTTAACTCAATGGCACCACGCCTGCCTCCAAAGCACAAGGTCCTGAGTTCGATCCCCAGTACCAAAAAAAAGAGAGAGAGAGAGTTTTTTCCCCAGTAATTTAGAAAACCCTTTTTTAAGTGAAAAACTACTGTGTTTAATTGATGTTAATGATTAAAAAAATCAAAACCAAACTCATCTTGTGCAGACCTTATTATATTGATATTGATACAGATTAGAAAAAGGGTACTGTGACATGAAGATACTGCAGACTTCATATTTAGAAAATTCACGGGAAAATGAGCATTTCGTATTATATTCTTCCAGAATGAAGTGGTAAAAATTACCTTATATAATTGTTGGACCTTTTTATATCCTATTACCGGTCTTTATTAGTTTTTTTTCTATGAAGGTGTTTTTGTCTGAACATGTTTTAACACACTGAGGAGTAGTTGTTCTTTTATTTTTATGTGAAGAAAAATATAGACTGCAAAGAACAAATCTATTGGATGACCATGATTTATTTTGTTCTCAGAACTACATCATGTTTACTTTCTCCCTCCCATGAAAAGTAAAACAAAAACAAAACAACGAAAAACCAAAATGTGAAAACCAAATACCATGCACACACATGCACACAGAGTTTAAATGACATGGGCCTAGTATACTTTTTAGATGACATCTTAAGAAAGTGTGTTTCATGTGAGGAAAGAAAATCAGTGAAATCTAATGAAAAGTAAACTGAAAATTACTTTTCTGTGTATGTCCTTTTGCCTTACATTAGGTGTGAATATCTACTGTCAGTGAACAATCTTGAAGAAAATTACGGAAAAATTGAGTGATTATAAACTAAAGGCAATACATAAAATCTTTGGTCCTTCAGCCAAGAGATTTTGCTCTCAGTTAAATGTTTAATTATTTAAATCATGCTTTTGCAAATTCATATTGACTTTTAATATTTTTTCAAAGTCATTTTTATCTAATCATGTAAACATTTAAAATTAAACATGATTTTAAATTTCTTTCTTTCTTATCTATCAATCTGTCTATCTACCATCTTTCTTCCCTCCTTTTTTTGCTTTAACTCTTTCCCCTTTTCTCCTGTGGAGTTAAAAACAGTACACAAGGAAGTACAAATTACTATAAGGTAGAAAATTTTAGAAATTAAATAGAAGAAATTGATTAAATATATTGAAATGTCTTAATTCTATTTGTAACTATTGCTTAAAGAAGAATAAAGAAATTATGCTTTAGTGTTCAAAGATTTACTTGAATGTGAGAATAAAGTCTGATTTTAAGTGCCTATTATATAAAAACTTTAATTTTTGCAAAATTTTAACAAAAGTGAAGCAGTGAGTGAGTGGTTCTGTGATTACAGTGAGGTGCAATATAATATTGCAACAAAAATAACACTATTGCAATACAATTCATAATTTTCTTTAAATGTCAAATGCAAATTCTTTATATTCCAGCTAAGTGCTGTATAGCCAAAAGTTGCCCTGGTACTAAACAATTTGTATTACTTCTAATACTATACCACTGGAAAATATTCTGTTTAATTTTTTCCAAATCAGAAACAATTTCATTATACCAGCTTATTTTAGAGAAATGTAATTATGTGGTATGTAAGCCCGTATTTCTAAATGGTATATCTGACTATAAAATTTAAGCTCATAGTCTTTCTTTATATTTTGACATGTGGTTCCCAAAGCTGATTTGAAAATGAAATAAATTGGAGATTTGAAAACGTATTTAGATTTCCTGGTAAAGTTTTAATTAAAAGTTATACTTTATAACTTCTTGAATGCATTCGTGTATAAATAATAAAATGCACAGATTTCTGTGCTTACAGATATTTGATTTTACTAACTCAGGGAACAACTGGCTTTAGATCTGAGGATGGAATTTCTTAAAACCTAATTAAAGCCACTAAGCGATTATAAGCAGGTCTGAATGAAATTTGCTCAGCTGCTGCGGTCTGCGAGCGTGTACGGTGCTTGGCAGGCACCATGCTTGGAGGAGGCCGGGAAAGGAATGTGGTGAATGGATTCTGGCACGCTGGCTGCCATGGGGTCATCTTCCTTAAGTGGGAACTGCTGAGCGGTTGTCAATAGCAAAGAGCCCCGTGTGCCCAGTTCCCATAACATGAAAATTACTAGCTCTTGGGGAAAAAAGAAAGGCTTTCTGTAGCTTTATTTTTACCCTGCCACTCTGTGTTTCTAGCAGTATTTGTGAGATTTTGGCAAATGGTGCCTTCGCCTCCTTTGCCCCCTCCCACAGTTCTTTCTGTGTTGACAGGGTAGAGACTGAAAGATTTGTCGTGTATTTTGGGTAAGTGCACAAAGTAATGGCTTGTTTTTGGTGATTTGACATTTTTGTTGTGCAAGTGATGGGTTTTGGATGGACTGCTGTTCTGCATGATCACAGGTCTTGAGAAATGTTTCTTGTCCACTTGCCTGTGCCTGCTCGTGTGTAGCTTTATTTTCTAATGCTAACAGGGACTTATATGAAATTTTGAGGTTATTAGGTCCTAAGAGTTGTAAAATATGAATACATTTAAAACGCTTGATAAGATATTTGACAGTTATCAAACATTTTGAGGAATTTAAAACTGTAAATCTCCAGATAGCTTACATGTAACCTAGAGCGCAATCATTGTGCTTTACTTGTGGAATCTTTTATAAATCTTATAAAACAAAGAATTAGCAATGAATAATTTAAATTCTTTTATTGCTTTTATGAATGTAGCTAAGCAAGTTTTGCTTTTATCTGAGTGCTAAATATATAGAACTTTTCAGAATTTGCATTTTATTTATGGGTAGCATATTTTGAGAAAGTTTTAAAATAAATGCATTTGTTTAATGCTCACAACTACATTTTGATCCAGTTTTCATGTCTACATAAGCGAAGTATGGACAGGAAATTTTAATTAATTATGATAGTGATATATGTGAAATATAGGCCTATTTGCTGTGAAAATTATATGAAAAAATTAGCAGTATAATAAATAATTGTCCTTTTGTTTGAATTATCTCGTCTGTGGTCACTGGAATGCTGGGTGTTGGTTGTCAGATTTCCAAAAGCTAAGGACCGATGTTCTTTATTATATAGAAACTGAGTTGACCATTCTCCATATTCCTACACTCTAATTGTGACTTTGAGATCTATCATGAATAGTTTTTGATTCAATAGGAAGTCACATTTGGAAAAATGTAGACCTGGTTGCAGGATTGAAAATTCTTAAGAGTTGCAGGATTTTAAACCCTCAGAGCCATGCAGTTTCTTTGATCATTCCAATACCACACTGAGCATAAAAGCCAGAACTTTAAAAAAATTAGTATGTTCTTTTGAGAAATGTTTAAGAATTGTTATAGCATGTTATGCATCACAGATCCACTCTATTTCTTTTTTCCGTATATGCCTTACATTTTCTTTTACGCTAAAAGAAAAAATGAAGGAGATTAAAAACTGAAGCATATAGAAAGGATCTGAAAAACACAAAATATACTTAAAAACCTAATTGTGATTGTGTTTATTTTTTATTGTGGCTTGCTTTAGCCTGTATAGTTGTTTTACCTAATGTGTATATAACTTTAGTCATTCAATGTAGTCTTATGTAATGAAATTTTAAAAGAAATGCCAATGTATGTAAAAATTAAGTTTGGTTTAAATATATTTTCTAACTACATATTACAGAGTAAATATTTCTAAAATTGGAATAAAATCTGTAAATTTTGATATGCTATTAATATCTACAGCTTTTGGGTATTATATTCTTGGTATACATACGCATTTCATTCAAATGAAAAAAGATATAATGAAGCTAAAAATAGTTTTTCCACAAAGTTATGAGTAAAACTGTGTTGGTCTTAAGTGATTTTAATACATGCAAATTCACTTTTAAAGTATAATTCCTAATCACCTTTTTTTAATTACTTGAAAGGTTTGTAAATTGCCTTTGGTGTCTTTGATTTCAGAAGTAAGACTACTGCTAACAAGTGCCTTCCTTCCTTCTGACTTCCAGGGTTAATGTAGAAAATGAGGTGCTGAAATCTGGGTATACTAGTCGTGACCTGATTATTTTGGAAAATGATGATCCTGGGGGAGTTTTTGAATTTTCTCCTGCTTCCAGAGGGCCCTATGTTATACCTGTAAGTATGAAATTTCATTCTGTGTTCACCACTTCAGAACAATGATGTAGAAGGACTTGAACTTCTGTGAATTTTTTTTTAAGGAAGGAGAATCTGTAGAGCTCCACATTATCCGATCCCAGGGAGCTCTTGTAAAGCAGTTTCTCTACTACCGAGTAGAGCCAAGAGATAGCAGTGAATTCTATGGAAACATGGGGGTACTGGAATTCAAACCCACGGAAAGGGAAGTAGTGATCACCTTGCTCTCGAGACTGGATGGCATACCTGAGGTACTGGATTGTATTTTGTCTTTATGTTTTGTGGAAGGTTGGTAATATCTGGTATATCATGATATAAATATTTTGAACATTGGCAAGAAGACATAAGAAGTGATAAGTACCCCTGTTTGGAAAGTCAGATAGCTCTAATAAGAAAGGTATATTTTTATTCCACAAAAAGAAATAACTAAACTCACCAAACAATCTGAGTGTGTGACCAATTAAGATTTATAACCAGCCTTATTTTATGTGATCTTTTTTGACTGAATTTTTAATGGTGTGGCTTTGAACTAATTTTGCCGTAAAACTGCTTTCTCTATCTGATTAAAACTTAAATTCATTTCCTTAAGAAAGCAATATGTTAAAAATATTTTTAACATTCTCCTATCAATGAAAATATATCCGAATAAGGAAAAGATGAATACTGACACTTTTCTAAAATGGCAAGAAGTTAGGGTCTTGTCATTGATAATTTAGAGTCAGTTGTGCACTGGTGTGTAAACATAGTGTTTAAAAGTTTAAAAATATTTTTAGGAATAGTATCAGCCCTTTTGCCTTTACAGGCATTGTGTGTTTCTGAAACCCTGAGCATATTAATATTCTCAAATAGTGCATATTTTCCTTGTGAAATGTCCTGTGCCTTCTCTCATCTGGCCTGTTCATTTTAGCTGGATGAGCACTACCGGGTGGTCCTCAGCAGCCACGGAGAAAGGGAAAGCAAGCTGGGAAGTGCTACAGTTGTCAACATAACGATTCTAAAGAACGACGACCCTCACGGGGTCGTGGAGTTTGTTTCTGATGGTCTCACTGTGACAATAAATGAAAGCAAAGGAGACGATATCTATAGTGGTAATCTATTGTTTCTTTACGGAATAGGAAGTCAGTCATGCTTTTAGTTCATTTCTTCAGCAGTTGGTTATTTTCATTTGCCCATCCTGCTTTAACAATTACAAGTAATATAGAAATTGGTCTTTTTTAAAAATCATACTTAGGATTAATGTTTTTATTTTGTACAAAGCATTGAAAGGACACAAATGATTTCAGTTAATACAGCTCAAGCACCCAAGCATGAATCAAGTCAAATAAGTTGAAAAACATTCAGACTAAGTGCTACTGCTAGAGACTATTTTAGTGGCAGACAATGAGAAATATTTTACTTTTAAAGCAGTTCATGGTGAGAAAATCACTCTGAGTGTGCAAGTGAAGCTTCCTCTAAATGCCTTCAGCGTTTGCAGTCCTCTGTAGAACTTGATCATGATTGCTCCTAACTAACCACTATTCTGTTCCTATGCCAAATGACTCCTAAATTCCACCCTGGGATGGGAAAGATTGAGTCTATTTTCTTTTATTAACTATTTAACCGCTGAAGGGTGAGCAGACTAGTATATTTTATCTGAACCTTGGAGAATGTGCTGAGCAAATAATTGGCTTTTATTGAAAAGAGGTGTCGTTTTTATTTTGAGAAAATTCTTTACTTGTGTTAAAGTTCATTATATATGTTCATATTTATTATAATTTGTTTGTACTTCACAGCTGTTTTTGGTGTAATAAGAAATCGAGGTGGCTTTGGTGATATTGGCATATCATGGGTGGTTATTCCTGACTTTACACAAGATGTATTTCCTGTGCAAGGGACTATTTTCTTTGGCGATCAGGAGTATTCAAAAAATATCACCGTATACTCCCTTCCAGATGAGGTAAATGTCGTACATGTCACTCTCCTTTTTCTTATTTTAGTTACTTATTGTTTTTATTAAGTAATTAAATATATGGTAATAGATTCTGTGATAAAGAGCTCAGACCTGACAGTGTCTCACTATGAGGCAAAAGGATAACGTTTTTTGGCTTCCCTGAATGTGTGTTTCACTGCTAGAACTGACAGTGGACTCCCAGTTGTGGGGGAGGTGTAGCCTTTGCTTGTACCCTTTGAAGAAAGGCCATTTACTGTGCACCTGGAACGTGCTCCGACAGGACCCTGGGCCACGGGGATCACAATCCCAGGGGGGCTTTCATCTCCCAACAGTAGAGAAGCAACTTGGAAACAGTGGCGAATACGCCTCTCTCAAGGAGGCAGCACTTAGAACAGCTTCGAAGGCCTGTCCCTCTTCCCTTAGGTCCGTCCCTCAAAAGACACAGTCCTGGCACTGTGTGGTTTTAGGGTGGGAGAAGACCATTTCACAGGACGATGTGGAACAGAAGCTGTCCCTGGGGGCCTCACTAGGCTATGGTGTGGGCGTCTCAGCTTCTCAGGAGGTGGAAGTACGGTCTTCACGCCACGCACATGCAGCTCAGGAGTTTGTAAGAGGCCCTCGAGTGCTGGCTGTGTGTGTGTCACACTTATGTTTCTGTCCCATTTTTTTCTAATAAACCACATAGTTCCCATCTTCATACAGAAAAAAATAGAAGCTTTGTATTTTGTCTATTTTTAGCCTACATAAGGCAAAATATCTACATTCCCATTACATTTTATAGTTAGTTAAAATACTGTAGTTGCTTAGATGAATGAACATTTAAATAATTTAGGGGGGTTCTGAATTTCACAGGAGGACTTTAGGAAGCTTCTGCCTTCAAAATGGAAATGAACATTGACACAATATAACTTTTTAAAAAAGAGAAATAATTTAAGAGCATATAGTTTAATTTTGTGTAAACCGTTCAAGTTAAAATATGTACTGTTTTCCCAAAGATTCCAGAGGAAATGGAGGAATTCACCGTTATGTTACTTTATGCAACTGGAGGAGCTAAAGTGGGAAATAAAACAACTGCAGCTCTGAGGATTAGAAGAAATGATGACCCTATTTATTTTGCAGGTGGGACAGCTATCTTTTTGAATCAGTTTACAGCTGTCTTTACTTAACAACATAGGCATTTTAAAATAGCTTTAAACTGAGTATTTTTGACAAAACACTGTCAGTGCTTACATTGGTAATGTAGTAGCCTATATTTAATTGGCATATTAATTAAGAATTCTGCATTTTTTCACTTTCGTGCTATCTTTAGAAATCTCTTTTGCCATCTGAGGCATATTTTAGTTTTATTTATGAAAGTTAATTGATTTCTAATTCTTTGTTAAATCCTTTTTTTTTTCTAAGTCAGATGTCAATCAATTTACTGGTATTGGACTTTTTTTTGAGACAGGGTCTCACTATGTCGTTGAGACTGACCTGGAACTCACTATGTGGAGCAGGCTGGTCTCGAACTCACAGTGATCCTCCTGGCTCAGCCTCCCGAGTGCTGGGATTACAGGCGTGCACCACCACACCTGGCTTGGTATTGGACCTTTTAAATCTCTAGAATTTCACTTACTGATTCCTATTTCAAGCCTTCACTTAGTATGTTCTTAACAAAGAAGTCTGTTATTCAGCTTTCTGCCAATTGTGGCAAAAAATAGAACATAAGGTATGTGGCCCTATTCTCAGGGATCTGACAACCTCAACTTGAAACTGAGGCCTGTGAAGCTGGAGGAGAGGATTTCAAACAGTACGTAACTCACTCGGCAGCTGGGTGGGGAACACTGGCTTCTGTAGCGGTTGGGCCAGGAGGAGGGCCCTTGATTGTTGAAGTCAGCATGAGGGCTTGTGTCAGAGCCGGAGACAGAGCCGGCTCTAAGCAGACAGCACGGAGGGCACTTGTTTGGATGGACAGAGAAAGGAACAAGAGTGATCCACAGGTACATAGATGGAGCCAGCGAAGCTCATGGGTTCCTTCTCTGCATGTTTCAGCACCTCGTGTAGTCCGGGTTCAGGAAGGGGATACTGCTAACTTCACCGTCCTCAGAAATGGATCTGTGGCTGTCACCTGCTCTGTCCAGTATGCTGCCATGGATGGGACGGCTACTGCCAAAGAGGGAGACTTTGTTCCTGCTGAGAAAGGAGAAACCCTTGTGTTTGAGGTTGGAAGTAGAGAGCAGAGCGTATCTGTGTATGTGAATGAAGATGGTATCCCAGAAACAGATGAGTCCTTCTATATAATCCTTTTCAATTCAACAGGTAAACATACAGATCACATCACTGGGATCTTGTCCTTTTACAGGATGGTATCTTGGTTCTTATTTTTCCCTCATTCCCCTGGCCTCCCTTCACCTCCTTCCCTTTACCCTATTTACAAAGACGACTTTGCTTCCAGTTTTTCCTTTTTCATATTTGTTCTTGTCCCTCCCCCTCCCACTTCCCCCTCTCCTTTAGCCATTTTCTTCCTGTTTCACATTATCATTTATACCATTTGAACCTTATTTACACTTTTAGTTTTTCACACCGGAGAAACTATGTGGTATTTACTCAGCTGTATCCTATTTATTTCACTTAAGGGTATAGCCTTAATGTGCATCCACTTAGCTGTAAATGTCTCTTAGTTTCTCATTCTTTATGGCAGAGTTGAACTCCATTTTATAGAAAAACCACATCTTCTTTATCCATTCTCCAGTTGATGGGCAATTAGGCTGTTTCCAAGCTTTAGCTATTACGAACTGTGCCGCTATAAACATGGGTGCGCATACATCACTGTGATATGATTCTTTTAGTTCTTTTGGAAAGATACCCAGCAGAGGGATGGCTGGGTCAAATGGAACCTCTAGTCCCAGCTCTTTGAGGTATCTCCATATTGATTTCCATAGTGGTTGCACCAGTCTGCACTCCCACCAACAATGGAGAAGGGTTCCTTTCTCTCCACAACCCCGCCAACATTTGTTATTGTGTGATTTTTTGATAGCAGCCATTCTTTGTGGGGTGAGGTGAATCTTAGTGTTGTTTTCATGTGCATCTCTTGGATGACCAGTGATGTTGAACATTTTTTAATATATTTATTTGCTGCTTTTACTTTGAAATGTCTGTTCATTTCAGATGGCCATTTTTTAATCAGGTCTTTATATTTGAGGGGTCTGATTTTTTTGAGTTCTTTAGACATTCTAGATAGTAGTCCTTTGTCTGAGGAGCAGCTGGTAAAATTTTTTCCCAACATTATAAGTTGTCTCTTAGCTCTGTTGGTGGTTTCTCTTGCCCTGAAAAAGCTTTTTTAAAAAATGAGATCCTAGTTGTTCTTTGTGCTAATTCCCATGTAACTGAGGATTTGTTCATACAGTCTTTTTCTATGCCAATGTCTTCAAGAGTTCTACCTAACTTATTTTCTAGTAAGTTTAGTGTTTCTGTTTTGATATTTAGATCTTCAGTTCACTTGGATTTTAGTTTAGCAAATGGTAAAAGATAAGGGTGTAGTTTTAATCTTTGGAAAGTTGAAAACCAATTTTTTCAACACCATTTATTAAAGAGGCTGTCTTTCCTCCAGTGAGGATAATTGTAGTATAGTTTCAAGTTGGGAATTGTGATACCTCCTGTCATGTCTCTGTTGCCCAGAAATGAATTTTTGGATTGTTTTCTCAAGTTCTGTGAAATATACTGTTGGGATTTCAATGGGGATTGTATTAAATCTGTATAGCAGTTTTGGAAGTATGGCCATTTTCACTGTATTCATTCTTCCTACCCAGGAGCAAGGGTTATCTTTCCATTTTCTTTTTTTGAGGTGGGGTATGGGAAACCTTGCACTTGTGAGGCAGGTGGCAGAACCACTGAGCTAAATCCCCGGCCTGTATTTCCATTTTCTTATGTCCGCTTCGATCTCGTTTTTCAGAGTGCTGTAATTTTTAGTGTAGAGGTCTCTTGTCTCCTTCATTAGTTTGATTCCTAGATATTTCATTTATTGTGAAATGAAGCCAATGAATCAAATAGTTGGTTATTTGAAAGAAAAAATAAAATCGATAAACCCTTAGCCAACCTTATCGAAAAAGGAAAGAAAAGGCTCAGATTCATGTAATTAGGAATGAAAAAGGTGAAGTCACAATAGATCCAGAGAAATCCAGAGAATCATCAGTACCTACTTTGAAAACCTGTACTCTAATAAAATGAAAAAAAAGGAAAATGGACAGATTCCTAAATACATATGAATTTCCAAAGATGAATGAAGATATAAAAAGTCTAAACACCCCAATTATATTCAATGAAATTGAAAATGTAATTAAAACATTACCAACAAAGAAAATCCCAGGTCCTGATGGCTTCACTGCTGAATTCTACAAGACATTTAAACTCTTCAATGAAATTGAAAGGGAAACAATACTTCCAAATCCATTCCTAGAAGCAAGTGTTTTGATTCCAAAACTAGGGAAAGACCCAACCAAAAAAGAGAACTACAGGCCAATCTCCTTAATGAACATAGATGCAAAACTCCTCAATAAGATACTGGCAAACAGAATACAGAGGGTCGTCAAGAAGATCATACACCCTGACCAAGTCGGATTTATCCTAGGGATGCAAGGATGGTTCAACATATGTAAATCAAGAAATGTAATACACTATATTAAGTCAACAGTAAAAACCATATGATCATCTCAGTAGATACTGAAAAAGCGTTTGACAAAAACAACACCCATTCATGATTAAAAAAACCCTGCAGAAAATTGGAGTAGCTGGTCTTTATCTCAACATGATAAAGGATATCTCTGAAAAGCCAACAGCCAACATACTTAATGGTCAGAACTGAAAATCTTCATGCTAAAATCAGGAACAAGACAAGGATGTCCACTCTCACCACTCCTGTTCAATATAGTTTTGGAAACATTAGCCACAGCAATTAGACAAGAGAAAGAAATTAAAGCAATAAAGATAGAAAAGGAAGAAATGAAACTCATCATTTGCTGACCACGTGATACTATGTATAGAAGACCCCAAAAACTCCACTGAAAGAGTTCAGGACTTAATTGACAGATGCATTAGAGTAGCTGGACATAAGATCAACATTCAGAAATCAGTAGCATTCTTGTACACAAATAACAGACTCACTGAGAGAGAAATTAAATGCATTTTATTTTTATGACAGCCCCGTTGCTTCAGGGTTTCACTGAGGAGACATGAAGTACTATAGCTGTTTCAGGTGGTCCTCTACTGTCATCGTTCATGAACACAGTTGTTTATTCCGTTCCTTCCTTGAGGAATGGGGTAAAGACTATAGGCGTGGTGACTTTATGTACAGTACATACACTATGGTATTATTTTTTACTTTTTTCACAATAGGTCAGAATTAGTTAATTCTATTATGTTAGTGACGGAAATCTTACAGCTAAAAGCAACTGGCACTGGGAATAGGGCTGCCTGGGCCTTGCCTAGTTATCCAGTGGCTTAAGGCGTCAGTATCCATAACCCTTTTCCCCTGGCACATTTTGTTGGGAAGCTTAATTCTACAGGCAGCTGACTCCAGCTGGCTTTTTGTAATTCTCTGGAGCTTTATCCTAAAGGAATGCAATTTCCAAGGGGAAGAGATGTGCTCTTCCTTCTTCTCTAGAAAATGAGCAGATGTTTTAACTCCATGATTTGCACCCTGAAAATGTTTTGGCCCCATCTTTAATAAATGGAAAGGGATATAGCTTGTTTGGATATTTAGTTCTCTTAAGAGTAAGGAACTTTTTCCTGTGACTCTTTTGAGAGTGAGTTAAGGATACAATGTCCTCTCACTGTTGAAGACCTAAGTGTATATTTCCTACAAACCAGGACATTTTCCTACATCACTGCAATGTAACCATGAAAATCAGGATAACAACACTGATGCAGTCATTGTCTGAAACCCCATTCAAGTTTCCCCAGTAATGCCTTTTCTAGAACAGTGACCCTTTCCTGAATTATACATTGCATTTCATTGTAATATCCCTGTAATTCCTTCAATCTTGAGTGGTTTCTCAGTATTAACAATACAGAAGACTATAAGCTAAAATATTCATGTTGAGTTTGTTTGATGTTTTCTTATTATTAGGTCAGGGTTTTTAAATTAATTTTATTGGTACATTTTAGTTATACAATATAATGACATTCATCTCTGGAAATTTGTAACTTTATGTAATCTGTCTTGGTTATTTTTTCCCCATTCCTCCGCCCTCCCTTCAACTCCTCCACCCCTCCCTATTTACAAAGACTTTGTTCCATTTTTTTCATTTTCTCATATTAATTCCATTGCCTTCTTTTCTTTCCCCTACCCCTCCCTCTTCCTTTTTGCCCCTTTTCTTCCTATTTCACATTGTCTGTTTTAGATTAAGCTATTGCAATAATATTCTTATTGTAAAAAAAAATGTCGTGTTTGTTTCTCATTGAAGTAGTTCTCTGTAACTAAACATTTTCTCAATAGACAAATAGGAATAACTTCATGTTATTTAGGCATCTCTTCTCCTGTACCTAATGCATATGTACATGTATTCCTGTAACCACTATTCACATTTATTGTGTGACCTTCAGTAAGGAAATTTTTTTTTCTTTTGGTGCCTGGGATTGAACTCGGGTCCTTGCGCTTGCAAGGCAGGCCACCGAACCGCTGAGCTAAATCCCCGGCCCAGTAAGGAAATTCTTATGAAAAATTTCTCAAAATTATAAACTGTTAATTTAAAAACATTAATAGTAGTAAGTTAGCTACTTTTTTATTACTTTGACATTTCCATTTTTCATTCAGGTGACACAGTAGTATATCAGTATGGAATGGCTACTGTCATAATTGAAGCTAATGATGACCCAAATGGTATTTTTTCTCTGGAGCCCATGGACAAAACAGTAGAAGAAGGAGAGACTAACACATTTTGGTAAGTGCTTTCGTATAAGGAAAGTCACAATTAGATGAATAAAATAAAGACATTACATATGTTGAAAAATTAGAAATACTGGTAATCTTTCCACATTTTAAAAAATTGGCCGCAAATTGAGTAATTTTAAAGTTGGCAGTTTAAAGGAATGGTAAATTTGGTTTGTGCTGTTGCCATTTGTCTATTAAAAATTTATAGAAACCAAAATACTTTAGCTGGTAGGTGGAAATTACTCTTTCCATCCTTCTCACACCACCTTTTTTGTCAAGATTGAGAAAATGGGGATTATCTAAAGTCTTAATGAACGTGTTTCTTAGCTGTCATGTGACTATTTTCACCCTAAACATTGCTTTTGAAACACGATTACTAGTTATCATCAAATTTATTTTTCAGTTTGGCTTAGAATTTATCTTTCAATGTGGAATTTGAAGACTTAAGCTTCTACAACTGCTTTTATTATTTAAAATTCCACTTCATTCCTCCCTCTTCATGAAATTATTCCTGGTTGCTCAGAAGGACAAGTTCATTTAAAGATGATAAATACAAAACATTTTTTCCAAGATAATATAGAATGTTCTTATTAGAATGAGATTCACTACTTATAAATGTTTCAAAAAAACAACTACACAATTTGTTACATAGGATTTTGAGGCACCGAGGATGCTTTGGAAATGTGTCTGTGGGCTGGCAGCTGTTTCAGAATGATTCTGCTCTGCAGCCTGGACAGGAGTTCTATGACACTTCAGGGGCCGTTCACTTCATGGCTGGAGAGGAAGCAAAACCAGTAATTCTTCGTGCTTTTCCAGACAGTATTCCCGAATTCACTGAATTTTATATTCTAAAGCTCATAAACATTTCAGGTGCTGTGTTTTTTTCAATTTCTTATTTACCACCAAAATTTTGCACTTTATATTTAAATAGAATTGTATAGAAAATTCAGTTAAGTGTATCTTGTCTGATTTTAAGTAACAAAGCATCCTTCTTGATAAAGATGTTTATTTTGATTCTAAGGAGAGAATTCAGGCCTTGTGCATGCTAAATACATGCTTTTCCACAGAGATAAACCTTTAACACCAAAATGTTATTTCTACATTCATTTTATGGTCTTAGTTGTGCTCAATTTTATGGATCGAGGCTTATATCCATCCTGAAACTTGTAAGTAGACTTTTTCCCTACCAAACATAGCGTTCCTAATAGACATTAATGGAAATTATGAAATACAGATTCTTCACAGCTTACGACCTAACAGTCCATTTTCCCCTCACATTTGGTTTGAAGTGTAAAAATTAAATCTCTCTAGTTAATATTTTCTTTTCAGATTTGGTTGATTATTAATAAAATTATGATGAATCAGTATTATTGGCTATCATGGCCATAAGGTATGACAAAGGCCTTACAGTAATATTATTGTTCATTGACAATGTTAGAAGTTTATTTGCTAAACAAACTTAAAATGGAAAGTACTTCAAATTCTAGTTTTTCACTACTATTTTTTTTTATTATAGGTGGGTCCCCAGGTCCTGGGGGCCAACTAGCAAAAATTAACCTTCAGGTGACAGTAATGATTCCATTCAATGATGATCCCTTTGGGATTTTCATCTTGGACCCAGAGTGTTTAGAGAGAGAAGTGGCAGAAGATGTCCTTTCAGAAGACGATATGTCTTATATTACCAACTTCACCATTTTGAGACAACAGGGCATCTTTGGTGATGTACGAGTAGGCTGGGAAATATTGTCCAGTGAGTTTACTGCTGGTTTGCCACCAATGGTGGACTTTTTACTGGTTGGAATTTTCCCGAGCAATGTGCAGTTACAACCACATATGAGACGTCACCATAGTGGAACAGATGCTTTGTACTTCAGTGGACAAGAGGGTGCTTTTGGAACTGTTAATCCAAAATACCATCCCTCTAGGAATAACACAATTGCAAACTTTACATTTTCAGCCTGGGTAATGCCTAATGCTAGAACAAATGGATTTATCATAGCAAAGGATGATGGTAATGGAAGCATCTACTATGGGGTAAAAATTCAAACAGATGAATCCCATGTGACACTTTGCCTTCATTATAAAACTCTGGGATCCAATGCTACATACATCGCCAAGACAACAGTCATGAAATATTTAGAAGAAGGTGTTTGGCTTCATCTTCTGATTATCCTGGATGATGGTATAATTGAATTCTACCTGGATGGAAATGCAATGCCCAGAGGAATCAAAAGTCTGAAAGGAGAAGCCATAACTGATGGTAAGAGTCTTTTTCATAAGTAGGAGGACATTGATACCTGCCCATTATAAAATCTTCAATTAAAAATTTGGAGTTTAAAAAAATAGCAGATATGTAAAAACTTTGCTTTTGTATTGATTTAGCAAAAGTATGTGCCTACAAAGACCATAAAAAATTCTGCACTGAATATTGCAGAAGTAAATAAAAGTTGTCCCTGTTGAAGGACCAGAAGTAGGTTCTAGGAGAGAGATACAACCAGATGACTACTTTGTAGGGACAAAGAAAAATGATGAAGGAGGGTCAGTTCTTCCGACTGTGGGGGATAAGGATGGAGAATGACCGACGAAGGATGGGCAAAGGGTTAGACGTGGGAAGCAGTGTATCGTACCGGAGGAGCCGCGCTGGTTCCGCATTGATGGAAGTAGAGGGTGGTGGGCATAAAGTTAAAGAAGAATTAGATTTAAAATCAAAAGTGAATACAGGGCTTCCCATTAAACAAAGCATAGAAATAGCTTAAACATATATTATCCCCCAAGAGTGGCAGTGTCATCAGTCCAACCAAGATTGGACAAATGAAGAAGCAAGAGACAAGTTTATCACATTAAAGATCATTGACACATAATGTAGTCACGCAAAGTGTGCATGTAAGCATTTGGTGTGAGGAATTGACTACTACCACTGTAGACTTTCTGTTTACAGTTATGGAATTAGACTTTCTGTTTAATTATGTTGTGGAATTATGGAAGGTTGTGAGTATATAGGCTGCCTGTAAACATTCAGTGAGGAATTCATACAATTTCTGTAATTTTATTTTCTTGTTATAGTTATGAAATGTGCTTTTTAATTTGTTGACTCATTAAAAATTGAATCTTGTAAAAACTACAAAACTCAACAGTGGCACATACATACAAAAGAAAAAGGATTGAATTTTATTAATAGGGAGAACTATCAAACCACAAAGGTAAACAGCAAGAGAAGAAAGGAATACATACACAAATCAGGGAGAAAAAAAGGAACAAACCAGAATGGCAGGTGTGTTGCATTTACGTATCAGTAATAACCTTCAATATGATGGATTAAATTTCTCAAAACAACCAGACTGGGTGAGTGGATTAAGGAATTAGACTCAATGCTATTCTGTCCACAGGAAAGTCACTTCACCAATAAAGATACACCTACTGAAAGAAATGGAAAAAGATATACTATGCAAACAGAACCAAAACTAACCAACCAAATAAACAAAAAATTCAAGAATTAGTTATATAAAATAGACTTTAAATTTAAAGAGGTAAAGAGTCTAAGATCACTAATGTTAAAGAGTAATTCGATAAGATATGTGGCAATCATATATGTACTCAACAGTGTGACACCCAATTACATAAAGGAAATAGTATTAGATCTATTTGGAAAGAAAGACCGCTATAGAAGAGGACTTCAACCCCCCAATTTAATCAATAGATGAGGGGCCTAGACCGAAAGAAATTAGCAAAGGAATGTTAGAGTTAAAATGTACTGTGGACAGGGCGGGGAGTTTGGCTCAGTGGTTCTGCCACCTGCCTTGCAAGCACCAGGGCCCGAGTTCGATCCCTGGCACCAAAAAAAAGAAAATGTACTGTGGATCAAATAGACTTAATAGATACTTATAGAATATATTATCCAGCAGCTACAGATTGCATATTATTCTCATCAGCACACAGACAATTCTAGATACACCATGTGTTAGAGCACACAGTGACTTCTAGAAAAACAAGAAAACCTCCAAAATTGAAACTAAATTGAAATTAAACATATCTTCTCTGAGCACAATTGAATACAGCTAGAAATTAATAAGAGGAACTATAGAAATTGTACAAAAATATAGATTTTAAACATTATTCTCTTGAAAAGTCAGTCAATGAAGTCGAAGAATTTAAAAAATTCTTAAATGGGAATAAATCCCTCATATATTAAAACCTATGGGATGCAGCAAATGCAGTTATTAAGAGGAAAGTTTATAGCACTAAGTGCTTCCTTGAGGGAAAAAAAGATTTAAAATATACTGCATAACAGTGTGACTCACGGAAGTAGGAAAGCAAGAGCCAACCAAACCCTAAATTAGTAAAAGGAAAGAAAGAGAGGAAATGCACAAAATAGAGGTTAAAAGCATGACATGCAACATCAGTTAAGTAAAGATAAACAGAGAAAGGACCTAAATAAAATTAGAAGAGAAATAGGACACATTGCATCTGATACCACAAAAGTACCAAGGATCATTAACGACTGTTATGATGCAAAAAAAAAAAAAAAAAATTGGAAAACCTAGAAGAAATACAAATTTCTGGACACATACAATCTACCAAAACTGAACCAGGGGAAACAAACAAAAAAAGCAAACTATTCAGTAGCAAGCAATGAGATTGAATTGGTGATAAAGTGTCCAGCTGGATGTGCACATCTGTCATCCCAGCATTCAGGAGGCTGAGTCAGGAGAATCTTCATGAGTTCAAGGACAGCTTGGGTGACATAGTTCAAGGCCAACTTGAACTATGTAGCAAGACCTCCTGTCTCAAGAAGAAAACAAACAAAAATCCACCACTACCAACAGCAAGGTTCCCAGAAAAGAAAAGCTGAGGTCTGGATGGCTTCACTGATGAATTTTACCAAACTTTTAAAGAAATAATGGCAGTTATCCTCAAACTGTTCCAAAGAATTGAAAGTGGAGGAACCCTTCTAAATTCATCCTATGAGGTATGAATTACCATAATATTAAAACCAGACAAGAAAGTACACAGAAAACTACAGGTCAATATCTAATGAACAGACATGCAAAATCCTCTAGGAAATTGAATCTAACAGCATATAAAAAGCATTGTATACCATAATCAAGTGGGATGATTGATTCAAAATATGCAAATTGATACGCATATTACATCTAGAGAATAAAATATTGAAACCTATATGATAATCTTAATAGAAAAACATTCAGAAAAGTTCGATATCCCTTTATGATTAAAAACCATCAACAATTACATATAGAAAGTAAATACTAATAAGAAAATTAAAGCAAGAAAAAATGGCAACCTGTAGCTTATGTCATTCTGCATAGAGAAATGCTAAAGTCATTTTTTTCTAAGACCAGGGACAAGTCAAGAATGTCCACATTTACCATTCTTATTTAATATAGTATTTAAATTCTTAGCTACAGCAATAAAATAAGAAATAGGAGTTCTAAGTAGGAAAGGAGGTCAAATTATCCTTGATTATAGATTTGATTTCATGTGCAGAAAAATCTGAGACTTCACCAAAAACAAAAACAACAACAACAAAACCTATTAAAAATGATGAACAAAGTCAACATACCAAAATGAGTATCTCTTCCCCCATGGGTCTGGGGAATACACAATAATCAATTTAATGAGAAAAAAGACAATAAAGCAATCCCATTCAAAGAGCTATAATAATAATAAAAATACCTTGGAAATAAATTTAACCAAGAAAGTAAATGATTTCTGCAATGCAGATTACAAAACACTGATGAAGAAATTGAAAACAGAAAAAATAGCTATCTCAAGGTCATGGAATGGAAGAATTAATGTTGTTAAAATATGCATACCACCCAAAGGAATCTACAGATTTAAAGCAATTCTTATTAAATTACACATGACATCATCACAGAAAAAAAAAAATTTGTAAAATCTGAACACCAAAAGATCCTGAGTAGCTTAAAGAATCCTGAGCCAAAAGAGCAAAGCTGGAGTCATTATAACTCCTGACCCCAAGAATAAAAGATGATAATAATCAAGATGGCGTGATGCATGTGCCAATGGAGTAGAGTAGAGAAACCAGAAATTAGTCCATATATTCACAGCCAAATGGCTTTTAACAAAGACAGCAAGATCCTGTGTTGGACAAAGGAAAATCTCTTCCAAAAAATGGTGCTAAGAATACTGAATATGCATACGCAGAAGGAAGAAGCTAAATCCCTCTCACCATATTCACAGCTCAAAAATAGATAAAGACTGAAATGAGAGAACTGACACTTTGAATGTACTGAAAAAAAATATAGAGCAAAATGTTTAGAACAATGGTCTGGGCAAAAAGTTTTTGATAGCTTCAAACGTCCAGGCAGCATAAGCAAAAATTGACAAACTGAATTAATTACTTTAAACAAAAAGTTTTTGTATAGCATAGGAAATAATCGATATAGTGAAGAGACAACGTACAGAATGAGAGAAACTATGTGCAAACTATTCAACTAGGGATTAATTTCCCATAATCATATATATATATATATGTATGTGTGTGTGTGTATATAAACATATATATATATATGTATATATATACACACACATACATATATATATGGAAAAAAATCCAACTGAAAAGTACACAGATTATCTGAACACACATTTCTCTGAAGAGGTTACACAAATGACCTGCAAGTATATGAAAAAGTGCTAAACATCACTAACAATCAGCTCTCCTCTGCCAAGGCCCTTTCACCGTGCTGTACCTCCCAACTATGGACTAAAACCTCTATAAACTGTGAGCTAAAATAAACTACTACTTTCAGTTTTGGTTTTTGGGTATTTTGTCCTAGTAGTGAGGTAAGAAAGAAAGATGCCAAGATACAGAATCCTTCTATTTGTTTAATAGATGAGTGGATAAAGAAATTATGTATGTACTGATTATCTTTACAGCTTTCTTATTTTGGATTATTTATCTTATGACTTAAGTAGTTGACACTGAAGTTAGAGAAATGATTTTGCTTCAGAGGATTAGTGATAGAAGGAAAGTGTTCAGAACGCCTCTAATTTGTGTAGTATTTTTACATTTATAAGGTGTTTCTACATATATTGCCAAAATTGGACTTTGCAATATACTTCATCGTATATTTAATAGATAAGGAAATAGAAGTCAAAATCGGTAAATAAATTAAGGCAACATTCACAGCCAAGACAGGAGCCAAGACTTGAATTTAAGCTTTTAACTCCTAAGTCAATGTTCCTTTTAGTATATCTTGGAAGTAAAATTAAAAGAGACATGATTGTTTCTATACCCTGAGAATATAGCAGTGGTGAAGGTGGCGCACCTATGGCACACGTGCTGCAGGGGTCCGTTTGTATCATTGAAAGCTCTGCAAGGTTCGCCATACTGGTATATAGTGTCTCAACTGGTCAAACTCAGGGCATAGTTTGATGAGAACAAAGGGGAATCATACAGTTGCTGGATAGTTTAACAGGAGAGACGTGTAGGACACCCTATCCGTTCAGTTCTGGTGAAGGACAGCTTCTGGTTTGCTGGGCAGGCAGGAATGGAAAGTAGTCTGAAGTAGGCATGGGAGCAATCGTGAAAATGTGCAGTCCGTGGGACGACTCTAAAAGCCACCTGACAGGAAGGAATTTGTAAACTGCCTTCACGGAGACCATGGAGAGGAAATAGTACTTGTACTTTTTTTTTCCCAAAATCACTACCAAGCTTTCATCTGATGTGAGTTATTAGAGATGGCAGAAGAAAGAAGTCAGAGCTGGTAAAATCCTGAAAATTATTGTATTGAGTGAGCTGGGCTGCATGTTGTTATTATAAAAAGTCTCTAATACTTGCATATAATATTTCTGGGAAGAAATACTTCCATTTCTGTATTTATTTTATTCATTATATTGCAAAGATAGTTTTGACCCACAGAAGCTTTTTTTTTTTGCTAAATTTTCTAACTCAGAATGAGTTTCTAACACATTAAGCTTTGAAATTCTCAAATAATAGTAATGCTAACATTTAAATTATGACTGAGCTACATCATTCTATCTTATGATGTGCAAGTTGATTAAAAATATAGAAATGTTTAAATGTCTATCATGCCACATACATGCATCGATAGTGTATGTATGTATATATTTAGTTATTTTCTGTCAAATGCTTTTGACAGACTGAGTGATGGTCCCTTTAAGGACATCATATAATTTGCAGATATTTACCAGTTTTTTAGTATAAAATATCATAAATCATAGTGATTAGTCATTTTTACCATTGTAGAATGTAACCTTTATTTGACAGTACAGTGGTTATGCAAGTGTTATACATCAAAATATATTTCATTAAATCAGTCTCATTTTCTGAATCACCGTTGAAATTTCGGACAGGATATTTGTGGATATTGTAGCATTTAGACTCGTGTCTGCTTTCAGGTCCTGGGATACTGAGAATTGGGGCTGGCATGAACGGCCGTGACAGATTTACAGGTGTGATGCAGGACGTGAGGGCCTATGAGCGGAAACTGACCCGGGAGGAGATTTATGAACTTCATGCTGTGCCTGCGAAGAATGATTTACACCCTATTTCTGGATATCTGGAGTTCAGGCAGGGAGAAACCAACAAATCATTTATAGTTTCTGCAAGAGATGACAATGAAGAGGAAGGAGAAGAATTATTCATTCTTAAACTAGTTTCTGTGAATGGAGGAGCTCACATTTCTGAAGAAAATACGACGGCAAGATTAGTAATACAAAAGAGTGACAATGCCAATGGCCTGTTTGGTTTCACAGGAGGCTGTATACCAGAGGTAAGTAGTGAGCTTAAAGATTTAGGGTTAGGAATTCATTTCAAGTGTATTTGTTTGGGACTGAGCTTTCTTCCATTTGGTAGGATTGCTCAAGCAGCTACATCCAGAAGCGTGCTACAGCCAGTGTTTGCAAATATGTAATACAGTCCCTACTCTTAGGAGATCACAGTTTAAATAAGCTTAATGAGTTGTCAGAAGTCATAACAAGTTAGCAAATAAATCTTAGCAATTACCTTTATGGTTAATGCACTTTAAAATAATGCATAATTATATACTATATGCAGTTGAATTTCGGCTACTGTTTTGGATATCATAAATAAGTAAAATGATATGTATTAAAAATTCTATAAATAATGATTAAAGCAACTTTCTTCACATGTGATTGAGGGGGTACTTTTTCATTTGTGAAACAAACAGTTATGACATTCTGCCATGCTGGATGCAAATGCCTTTCTTACTGACCACCTTGGCCAATGTAATTCATTAGATTGCTTTACTGATTGCAATGTAATTCATTAGATTGCTTTACTGTGCTTATCAGTTCTTTGTAAGTTTTCAAAGATTTGTAATCATCTTGGTTTCCTATATCACTTGAGATCTTATGAAACTATTTCACAGGTGTTGTGTGACGGTGACAGGTTGATGTTCATAAAAGGCTGCCAAGAAACAAGAGCCTTTTCCTTTGCAAGTTGACTCTAGTAGGTTTAGAAGGGTGTGTATGTACGTTGAAATGATTAAGAAAAGGTAAAATGGATGTGATTGTAATATGTTACATAGTACAAATAAGAAAAAAATTACAATGAAATCCAATATTTGATACAGTTAATATGCATTAATAAAAATGAGAACAAAACAGGGATGAGTAGAATGTGGAAAAAATATACAGATCCCTTACACTGGCATGCCTGGCTTTGTGGAATGTCACATTGCCCCTTTACCTCTGGCAGCAATCATGAGAGAAGTCCTCAAAGGGTACTCTTTTTTACATCAGAAGTAGAGCATTCTACACCAGGGACAATAAACATTATACAAGCCTACAACTTAGAAAGAAAGTATGTTTGCCTGTGGCGATAATGCCTAGAAATGGATATTCAGCCATCAGAAAGCTTCTATAGATTAATTTTACTCACCTTCTAGATAATCCATAGTGTAAGTGCAACACATAGTACTACGCTCCATGTCTGAGGTTTGGAAGCCTGAGAAGTAACTCATCTAAATTGTGTTAAATGAAACAAGATCAAGTCAAATGCCTGGTTCAGATCTTGGTGGTTATTAGTGGTGATGAATCTGCATTTTCTATTTGCTTCCGAGATACAAAGGGAAGCATTAGAATTCGAACACAGGTCTTATGACTCCTAACCTGTTGTCTTTTTGTCTGTGTGTTCAGTATTATTGTCTGTATTCTTGAAAAGACAGATAGCTTTTGTCTGGTGCAAGAACCACTGTAGTATCATGTCAGGTGAGATTCCCTTAAGATCTGACCCCTGCCTGTGGCTGTGACCAATCTGGGCTCATTCCGTCCCTTGGTCAATGTGTTTCAGTCTGACTTGTCTTGTTGAAGTTCCAATCTCAAGGCAGCAACCCTCAGCAACTTCCACTTGCACTGCTTTTACTCTACATAATATTTGGAATCTCAGCTCCAAAGACATAGCCGCGGTGAAAATCTTATTTAAAGTAAAGAATTATCTTTTCCAGCTTGTTACACTTCATCCATCCATGGTTTTACTTTTTTCTGTAGCATTGATCATATTCTCAAATTCTTTCTGTTATTTATAAATCTACTTATTTACTGGCTGTCCCTCTGTCACAAATACGTAAGAGCTGTGCATGTACTGAGCTCTTATTTTCCATTTTTGTATTTTTGATACCAACACAAAGTAGAGTATAGTAGGTGCTCAGTAAACCTGTGTTAAAACTCATGAATATACTTAATAGCAAAACATGAAAAGGCATATAACAGTTCAGATACTAGACACATTTAGATTCGTTAAACTACGTAAACAATCAAACTGAAAAAAAAAAATACCTAGCAAACTTTTTAACCCTTTCTAGAGTAAGAAATGGTTCTTTAGTATTTCTCTGGTTTTCTGAAGCATTATAGTGAAGTTTTCAGTGGTGGCTCATCTTACACATTCCATTGGTAGAAAGTGAGTGATGCTGGTTTAGTTATTAGTTATGCAAACTTGTCTGTCCCTATTGGTCCATTCCTGAACTGGAACCGGACCTGTCAAGCCTTTCATTGTTTGGTTTAGTCACTTTCCTCATGTCTGGGATAAAATGCCTGCCACCAATAACATGAAGAAGGGTTGGTTTATTTTGACTCATATATTTAGTCCAAAGTTACCGGTTCCAGGGCAGGAGGGTATGGAAGAGGGGCAGAGTAGAGGCAAAGCTGTTCATTTCATGGCAGCCAGAAAGTACCAAGTCAAGGGGCAGGGGGATACTTTTCTAGGGCACACCCCCAGTGACCTATCTTCAACCAGACCCTACTTTCTCACAGCAAGTCAGCTGTATTACTTCATAATCCAGTCACCTTCCAGACACGTGAGGCTTTGGGCACCATTTTAGATCTAAACCATAACATTACAGAAGAGAGAATTTCCCTGCTATAGGCCATAGTGCCTAGACTGAAATGCTACAAAGAAAAAGGAAATAAAATTGTTTTTTTTTAAGTATACATGAAATAGAAGTAGAAAGTATCTATATTGAAAATAAAAATGTTTAGAAGGATAATATAGGAAAATTGATCTTGAGTCTATGAAATTTATCTTTGAGTTTTGATTACCAAGAAGATTATAGGATTTTCATTCTTGAAAATGTTAAGAATAGAAACAGAATTCCTACTTTTATCTTGATGTGATTTGAAGACGAGTCTTTAATATTTTTATTATCATCATCACCACCAATATTTATTGATTGCTTACTGAAGTCGTTCTCAGGGGCCTGAGGACCCCTGACATTTCCTAAGGTCCTTTCACAGGGGCCACAAAGTCAAACCTAACGTTGTTACAGATACTAAGATATTTACTTTTCTCTTTTTATTGACGTTTTGTATTGCTAAAGAAATTGTGGGTAAGCCTGCTGGCCTCTGTTGCCTTTGCGTGACACAAGGTCGACGCCCATGTCATTGACCACCACACACCCCCGTTGCTTAGGAAGTGCTAATTTCACTTACAGATATCTCCATGGAGCAGTAGAACTGTTAGATTTAAAAAAATGTCAACCCATGGATTTCTCTGTCTTGATTATTTCCTGTCATGGAATGAGAGACACAAATAAAGTACTTCTGCTGTATTCTCTGAACATCTTAGGTGTTTTAAGTAAGTGCTTTGTACAGATTTTGATGCACGAATTGAAGTAGATGCTTTTTCCATGGAATGCCACATTTATTTGAAAAAAATGACCCATTTTGGTTTTTTCAGACTAGGGTATATGGCAGACATTTTCGTGAAAATAGATGGAATGAACCATTCTTTACATGAAAAACAACTGACAGCACTTACTGTTAATAAAAATTTTTATCTTTCAAATGAAAACTTGTATTTTGTAATCCTCCAAAGTGAACTTGGCTGTTTCCCAATACTTAAGAGACTTCAGATAAGACTGACTGATTATTTTGTATGATGAAATGTGTCAACATTTAGAAAAACTGCGTAACTCAGTAAGTAAGTTTTACATCTTAAGTGACCATATATAGAATGTGACATGGTTTTCTGCTTGGTTTATGGAGAGAGACGTTAATTATTTTTTGATATGTGTGGTCCTTACCAGTTATAAGGCAGGTACTTAGTAAGTTTTTTTCTTTTATTGAGTTTATTGGTACATTTTAGGTATACAGTGCAGTTACGTTCATTATTGGGATCTTGTACCTTTACATGACAGGTCTCGGTTCTCATTTTTTCCCCTGTCCTTAATAAATTAAATTTCAGAGGGTAAATAAACTTTGTGTACTTTAGAGCCCTAAGAAGACATGTCACATAGTCCTTTGGATTTCAGGTGGATGGAACCAACTGTATTTTCATGTTTCCTCCCATCTTTTATTATTCTGTATACATATTTATAAATTAATGAGATTGCTTTTCTTAGTGATTCTAGAAATTCATTTTACTTTTTATACTAGCATTTAATATTTTATGTTTAAAAACATGATTTAAAAATCAATTTAGAGACAGTTTAGGAAGATCTTTGTGAAGATAAGACTATTACTTCAATTTAGACTGTGTCTATTTTTAAGTGCCTGCCATATGTTATGTGAATAGATTTCTTTACATACAAGTGATACTGATATAATCTGATATCACAGATCATCACCCAAGCATGACATGAAATTAAAAATTAATTGGCTTTGTAATTGTTTGGCTTTAATCTTCTATTTCAACAATGAGGGCCAGTTTATGGCTCAGAATACTGAATTGTTTTTCTGGGTAGATCTAAAAAACGATTCTTACTGCTTACCTTTATTACTGCTCTTCTGCTGATCAAAGGATTTGGCAAATTCTGATTCAAAAGAGGAAATATTTGGGAGGAGGGGGTGAAGGGAGGGCAGGGGTAAGGGGAAAAAATGAGAACCAAGACCTGTCATGTAGAGGTACAAGATCCCAACGATGAATGTAACTGCACTGTATCCCTAAAATGTACCAATAAACTCAATTAAAGCTGAAAAAAAAAAAAGTGCAAGAGTGAGGGAATTTTTTGCAGATTATTACGGATGTTGCTGGAGAAGAAACAGTACCATTTTAGCACTTACTGTGTTACCGGAGACCATGTACCCCACCCCGGCCGTGTGACCTGAGGCCTTTGAGAAGAGAGTGAGGACTGGAGGGAGGACTCGTGAGCTCTGAGCCGTGCTCTGCACCGTGGGTTTGCTCAGTACCGTCCTGCCAGTGCACAACCCTGAGGAGAAAGTCAACTGGGGTCCGTCGTGCCGCTGGGTCCTTTTGCTGCTTCCTCCTTTTCTCTCGTACCTCTTAAGTAAGATTGCAGGATCTCACACACAGAACAGTGATTTCTGCGGACCCGAGGGACGAGTCCCAAGAAGCTGCCGTGCTGTACCAGACTCTGTGGTGGGAAACACTGTAGTTGTGGAGAAGACGGGCAAGGACAACACTCCTCGGGAACAGTGACGCTCAGAAAGAAAGAGACCTAAAGAGATAAAAACAGTATTACAGTCCTTAAATGTTTAATACTTACACACTGTTACGTGTGGCGTATTACCTCGAAAAAGGTGTGAAGTTTTACTTGTAAAAGTAAGCATCAGGAGTGCTTCTGTCTGTGTGTGGCTGAAGCAGTGGAAGGAAGGTTATCCATCCACGGAGGAAGAAGTGTCACCCTAAGGCGGAGAAGTGTGGCTGTGGCAGTAGCAATGTCCAGCTGAGGCAGCTGGTAGAGGTTGGCGGTGTGTTAGTATTTCTGTGTAGCTTTCTTTGAAACAAGTGTTACATCAGAATTGAATGTACTTGGTGCTTTTTTCTCCATCTGTAATATTGTCCTGCATTGTCTCAGCAAGCTTTGACTATCAGTTGTATAACTACGTATTTATATCCCTTAGTATATGGCTTCCAATGCCAGACTTTGTATTATATACACTGACTTCCACATTTATGTTATCCTGTCCTCTTTATAAAATTCTGCCCTCATTTTTTCAGCTGTTACCTTGACATATCTCTTTATGGATATTTTAATAGATATTTCAAACTGGATGTATTTGAACCTAGAGTTTTTGATCTTTACCCAAAGCCTGTGACAAACCTGTGATAGAGGAGAAATCTCTTACGCCTGCCTCACAGGTGACTTAGCTTGATATGCTGTTGCTTTTGAAGAACATTGCTGCCTCTCTACCAGCCCATTCAGGGAGTCTCTGAGCGATGGAGGGCAGAGACAGAAAGAGCCCACGCAGCTTTTCATCAAGTATGGAGGGAGAAATGGCCCAAAGTTGAACAGCACATGCACCTCTCAGCTGATTGTGTAGCCAGTTGGCCCAGGCTTGGCCCAGGCTTGGGAGAGTCAAAACCAGACTAGAACCAAGGATGTTTGGGGCAGGGGCATGTGAAAAGGTGCTAGGAGTAAGCACTGAGTTTGAGGAGGCCTTTGTCAAGAGCTTGTCAACAGCGAGGAAGTCAAGATGAGGCTTCTTTGCCTACTGGCCGGATTGTCCTGCTACCACAGCACCATTAACAGCATGATGGCGGGGATGAGGGTTATGCTGCAATGTGATGTCATGAGCTGTTGGGGCTGCTTGTCCAAAAGAACAGGCCACAGGGACCAAAGCTGAGCACTTTCCAGTAACCCATTTAGTAGTAGTTTGTTCCCAACCACATTTTTCATTCTGGAGGAGGCAGCAATTCATTCCTGTTGAATTTCGTGCAGAGTTTAGCTTTTGGACTTGTCTTCCTAGTACTTCTGCCAGCACCATTATCTGAAAGCTTAAACAATGCCTGCTCTAACCATGTGGCTACCTGTATCATCTGGCTTCAAAGGACTCATATTACGCCAAGGAGGCACGACAGCGGGCAGTCTTGGGTTCCCTGGCCTCAACATATGCCACCTTGCCTGAAGCAGCTTGTCTGAATGGCCTGTTTTAGACCCAGCCAAGTTGCCAGCTCAGCCAGCTTCTTGTAGGGCTGGTGTGTTGTGGTTGTACATTCACAGGCTGGTGTCTCCTGTGTCTCTGACAACTGCAACTCCCAGGCTTGAGCAGCAAGCGGTGCAAGTGAGACTGACCCCCTTGAACTGGTGTCCTACTTTGGTGCTTTAGACTCCAGTGACTTGGAAGTTTGGGCTCCGGCAGTGGCTGGGAGTGGAACATGTCTGCCAGGAGACACACTCAAGGCTCCACTGAATTATTACCTGGTTGTTTTAGACTTGTTGTGCCAAAAGACCAGCAGGCAGGTGACCACCAAGTTAGTGTTGCCCAGGACTGACTGTTTGCCATAGAGGGTTAGGGTTATTGCTCCTCAGGGAAACCCTGGGGGTTAAAACTGGATTCGCACTGGTTGATAATGGTCTTGACTGTGGCCTGTTGGTAGACAAAGTTCAAATCTGTTTTCTCTAGCCCTAATATCTGCACCAAACAGGCTTTAAAGAATTGAAGATGCTTAGATTGACATGGAAAAGACTGACATTCTCTATAGTAACATTTGTATTTTTAACCCTGTCCACTTTTAGTCCTTTTTTTCTCTAACTTATGTAATTGCTGATATAAGTATAAAATTGAAAGCCTGAGAATTTGATAGCTCAAAGATCTGTTTTAAAAGGTTGCACCTTTTTTTGCTCCATGTAATTTGTAATCATTGTCTTAAATTGTTTAGATCAAAATCTTACTCTTCTGAAAAAATACACATATTCATGTTTGTATACCTGTATGTGTGTATGAAAAACGTAAAGAAGACATTAAGCCTGATATAAAATGCCTTTTTCTGAGCTGGCATGTCCTCGTGTTAACATTCTCGAGGCTTTCCACGTGGTACTTGCTTCACCCCCAACGTGACTCCGCCAGCTGCACTGCATTGGCTCTGTGTCCATGCCTGGAAAGCTCTTCCTGCTGTCATTTGATTCTCTACTCATTGCCACCATGCCTGCTCAGCTGTCTATGCTGAAACCATCATTAAGTTGCAAGTTTGTCATCCTCTTCCAGCTTTTCACTTGCCCAGAGAAAGGATTATGCATTATTTCTGAGCAAAAACTTCTGTAACTGTCAAATTTAGCACTGTGGCTAGCACACGGGAAGTAAAATGAATGAACTACATGTACAATGAAAAGATCATTCTTTTTGCTTTATCCGTATGAACATTTAGAAAAAACAAAATGATTGTAAATTTGGTTTCATAGCAGTCAAAATATATGTGAGTGTCTTTTTGTGGCTGCTTAATATCCTGAATCATCTCAAAACATTTACAGCAACTTCTGTTACATGAAAATATTATGGTGTGTCTTTTATATAAATGGACTTCATGCAAATCTTAAAAAAAAACCTTTAAACATTCACTGTATGTTTGGATTCCATTTATAAAGGCCTCCTTCCCCTTTTCAAGAGGTAGAAAGTTATAGAATTAAGTTTATAAATAATAGAAGAATTTCATGAAAGCATTGTAATTTTATCACAGACTTCAATAGGTATTTACTTATAATTAATTTATGTTCAATTTCAGATGGCAGAGGAGGGCTCTACCATTTCATGTGTGGTGGAGCGCACGAGAGGAGCCCTGGACTACGTGCATGTGTTTTACACCATCTCACAGATCAAATCTGATGGCATCAATTACCTTGTGGACGATTTTGCTAACGCCAGTGGGACTGTCACCTTCCTTCCTTGGCAGAGATCTGAGGTGAACCCTTCCAGGAAGGCTTTCCTTGATATGTTCTTTAATTCTTTGCTGCTTCTTGCCATTTAAGCAATTTGAAATACTAAGGGGATCAAGGACACATAATGGTATAAAATATTTCAGTTGACCATGCTGAAACATTCCTATCCATAATTTTATATTAAAATGTAAATAGCTTACAAGTTATCAGGAATGCATAGTAAATTTACTTAAAACTGGCAAATAATAAATGATCTAAGGAAAATGTTGAGGGTCTTACAAGTAAATTGGATAAAAAAAAAAGCTGAAGGGCTTTAACTCTGCTTAAAACTTTTGAATAATTAAAGCTGGTAAAGAGTGATCAATTTGGGAGAATAAAGGAATGAATTAAATAGGTTATAGCAAAACCTCTCCAGCACTGTTCTGTAAATGGATTCATGATAAAGGTTTACTAAAATAAGAACACCTAGTCAGTTTCTAGAAAGCTAAATTTACTCAGTTTGCACAATTATATTTTATTCTAATGCTTTGTCTATTCTTGTTTGTCCTGGAATTTGAAGTGCTCTTTATCAAAGATGATAGTATGTGGAATATTTTTAATGTTCCTGCTTGACAAAACTATGAACTAAATACATAACTGAGAACCCTTGTTTTGTAACTTACATTTAATATACAGTTCAGAAGAGATAATAGTAAACCAAATTGGTTAATAAAATAGTTATAAACATTTCAGTTGATAATTATTTAAAATATTAGCTTCTGTAAACTTTGAATTTCTTTTTCCCTTTAATTCAATAATAATGATATGATTTGGCTATTAAGTGCCATTTTAACACTTCTTTTTTGAGCACATTGGCCGTGCTGTATAGTACTTAAAGTCATTTTAGAATATTAACAGTGAAATTCATATTCTTCATCAGATCTACAGAGTCAAAATCTCTAGGAACATTTTTTAAGCGTAAGTCTTCAGGTTCTCTGAGGTCCAGTGGTCAGTATTTTGGAGACTGCGTGTAAGTTTAATTTGTTTCCAGTTTCCTCTTCTTTCTGGGAGAAATCAGGAAGTCACCCTTCTTCCACCCCTCACTCATTATGCCTGCATCTTCTACCTCCACTTGGATCTCGGATCCATTTACTTCCCTTATGTCTTTGGTTTTATTGGCTCAGAATTCCATTGGATGTAGTGAGTGATCCTCTTGCATGCTTTCTTGCTCTGTCCCCTCTGTTCGCATTCGGCCGTGGTACCTGTCTCTCTCCTGCTTGTGATTCTCCCCTCTTTCTGAGGAATGAAGTCCAAATTCCTTTTTATAGCATAAAAGATCCCTATGACCTGGCTCCTGGTCGCTCCCTTGCACTTTGCTCTGCTCCAGCCTTTGTGGCCTCATTGCAGTCCCTGCAGGCCATAGTCCCTCAGTACTTCTGCCTTTCACCTAGGTTGTGTTTGGCTTGGAATACCATTCCCATTATTATGCAAATCTGTAATAAATCCCTTAGGGCTCATTCCAGACAAGTATTTTCTAAAGCCTTTGCCAAGTAGAGAAAGTTGTTTCTTCTTTGGTGTACTTTGTACATGACTTTATTATGACATTTTAACATTAAATTTTTGAATATTTGCCTCTATTTCTGTCTTCTACAATAAATTGTAAGCTTCTCGGGTACTGGGGCCTTGTCTAACCCTTCACACTGTGTGTGACACGGCATGTCTGATTAATAAAGGAAGGAGAAACTTTTTTTGCTTTAAATTTTATAGAGCATTACTGTGAGTCATTTCTACTTCTTTTCATAACTTTTTGGACTAATTGCTTCAGCCACACTTCTAAAGTCCATTATGGAACCCACTTTCTATAATATTGTTAGTAAGTCATATTTTTCTTAAAGAGGCAGTGGACATACATATGTTGTTTTTTTCTTACTACTCAAACATGCAGTTCCTTAACTGGGCACTCTCTATCCTGAGGTCAGTACTACTGGTGTCTTTGGTACACAGAACGTATGGCATGATACCCCTATGTAGGATATCAATATGTCGTATATGATACGTTAATTATATTTCTTTTACAAGAAAATCTCATGTTTCAGCACCCGCCTTAGCCTGTTCAGATTGCCGTAACAGAATACCTCAGGCTGGGGAGTGTACGAACAACAGAAATGTACCGCCCCTGCTCTAGAGCCTGGGAAGTCCAAGATGAAGGTGCTAAAGACCCAGTGTCCGGTGAGGGCTCACTGCTCCGTAGCTCTGGCATCATCTCATGTGTCCTCCTGGGTGGAACTGGCAGACAACTTCCCCAGCTCCCCAGGGCCTTCATCAGTACACTATTCCCATTCCCCAGGGCTCCACCTTTAACACGTCGTATCTCCCAGAGGCCCCAGTTTGTAATATTGTCACTTTGAGCGTTAGGTATTGGCAGACGGATTTTTAGAGAGCACAAACATTCAGGTAATGGCAGTACCCACTATAGTTCAAGGAATTAATTTCCTCAGATCACTTTTTCTCTATGTGTGTATATGTACATGCACATATATATTCTTTAACGTCTAAATTTGTGTAGCAGAGTCATGTTAAATAGTAATCTCAACTAAACTCAATCAATTAGCTTTTTGTTTTCCTCTGGCCTAATGCCTCTGGATTTTTACATTTATAGGTCCTGAATATACATGTTCTCGACGATGATATTCCTGAGCTTAATGAGTATTTTCGGGTGACTCTGGTTTCTGCAGTCCCGGGAGATGGGAAACTGGGTTCAACTCCCACCAGTGGCGCAAGCATAGATCCTGCGAAGGAAACCACAGATATCGCCATCAAAGCCAGCGATCATCCCTATGGTAAGCCACCTGTTGTGAGGAGGACTCCGTCTCCTCAGGTGCACTTGGTTTTACTAAGACCTTCCTAAGAGGGGACTTTCTGCAAAGGATTGAAGTACAATGGAGACCTTCTCACTTCTAAGCCTCCATGTTGGGGAACATGGCTTCTGAAAAAAGATACAAAGATCAATTTCTGAATTTACGTAATTTGGCAAGTTTTTTTCAGGATTATTTAAAGTGAAAAAAGTGCTTCCACTGATGGCTATCAAAATTCCTTCAGTTGAAGATTACCTTATGCATACAAAGCAGAATGAATGTTATTATGTATCACAGATGTTTACTAAAAAATCTAAAATAAATTACCTCATGCTGGCATACTAGTATCTAAATAACTGAAGTACTTTGCGATTTATATTTTATTGGGCTTTAAAGATGTGATCCCTGTCATTTACATTAATTTCTGTTTTGTGCTGGAAAGTGATAATTTTCTTACTTGGGGAACTGTCATAGATGTTTGCTTGACTAGATTCAGATTTTTAAGTTGAAAAGCATATCTCTTGTGAAGGAAAGCAAGAACACTGTTAAAAATACCTGGGTAGGGAATCAGAAAAGCTCTCCACTTTGGTTTTCATAAATTTTTTAAAAAAGTGTTGCAAATCTGTTAGTGTGTCATTAATCCTGTTCTGCAATAAGGATTAATTCCAAAGATACCATTTAAGTATGAGTAAGTGTTTGAAAATAAATATTTTTAAAATTTAGTGTTCCTTTATTTGATACTCCTTGGCGGGGAGCTTTCTTTGAGTAAAGACAAGGAAATTAACATTTTTAGTTTTAATGTGAAATCACATAAACATATTCCATATCAGAAACAAGTTAAGCAAATCTTCACTAAAATCTTTTTACTCTAAAGCCTTCAGGGCTTTAGCCTGGTGATTAAAACAGTGCTTCAAGGCGGCTTGAGATGAGTAAGGAATCTTCCACAGCCTCAGGCCGGAGGATACCAAATTTAAGGCCCTGTATCAAAAAAAACAAAGCAGATCCCTGTAGGTGACCCAGGGCATCCTGTCTCCCTTGCCCCAGGCTTGCTGCAGTTCTCCACAGAGCGACCTCCCCTGCTGGAGGACGCCATGAGCCTGCCCGCCAGCAGCGTGCCGCACATCACTGTGCAGGAGGAGGACGGAGAAGTCAAGTTACTGGTTGTTCGTGCACAGGGCCTCCTGGGAAGGGTGGCTGCGGAATTTAGAAGCGTGTCCTTGACGGCATCCAGTCCGGAGGACTACCAGGTACGTATGTCCCTGAGCCCTTGGGAGCTGAACTTGCACATGTGAAATGGGCACAGCACTTGTCATGGAGGAGTGGAAGAGGATTGCACTGAATCTATACCTTACTACTCAGGGAAATAAGCACTGATGGTTTTTTGGCCTTGACATTCATGTGAATTAAGGTTCCTGACTGCACTGAAATGTGACACTTACGTGGCTACCATGTTGCTTTTTTCTTATACGTTATACTTGCCATAGGCTTCTTTTATGCTGTTACAGGTTTTATATTAATGCTCCAGATTTGGATTACATATATTTAAAATTATGTTTCTTTTTTTGTTCTCTTCCTTTTGGTACCTGGGATTGACCTCGGGTCCCTGAGCTTACAAGGCAGGCGGTAATGCACTGAGCTAAATCCCCAGCCCTAAATTATGTTTCTTAACTAACTCAAATTCTTTTACCTATATCCGTCAGACAAAGCCAAAATTGCAAAGAGATGATCCATGTCCTTTCAATTTCAATTATTCTTTAAGTGATAAGCAACATGGGTATTGAATGTGGCAACACAAAGCAGGGAATTTAGAACTGGACAGAGCCGGGGTTTACCTGGACCTCAGCATGTGCTCTGTCTCCTACATGTACATCTGTAGTGACATGGAGAGCCACTCCCTCTTGTCCTTGATTACAGCACTCTTTGTATGTGAGTGCTCCTGATTTTTTTTCTTGGCAAACCTTCCCAAGAAGAATTTTATATCCTTCAATATTTTTGTTTTCCTAAAGAATTCTTTTCTTTGAATTTAATTTTATCTTCATGTTTTTCGCTTTCTTTCTAAAAAGACCCGCACAACCCCACAAGAGTGCAGCATTTAATAATTTATACACACTTTCCCTCCAAACCCCAGAAGCCTTGGATGGCTGAATTCAGTGAATCTCAACTAGTTAGCTAGTCTTGGATTTCTTCTTTTACAACCCTTTTCTTAGAAGAGTTATGTATTTTTTGACCTTGACATTTATTCTCTCTAAGATGTTATATAACATACCCCACAAGACATTTCAACTTGATTTATTCTATGTTCTTTTTCTTTCTTTCTTTCCTTTTTGGGCATCGGAGATCGAACTCAGTTCCTTATGCTTGCAAGGCAGGCAGCGGAACCACTGAGCTAAATCACTGGCCCTATTCTTTATTCTCTTGAAGCAATACTTTAGTTTTCCCATTGATAATCTTCAATTTCTAATTTAAATAAGCATCTCCCACTTCCGGTTGTATCATCATTTTCTTTACTAACTAAAACAAAACGGAAGACCTTCCCACCCCTGCCTTCACCGGTGGTACTTAGGCGTGCTAGTTGTTGAGTGTCACCTCCGTTGCTTATCTCTGACAGCCTGATAACTTTTCCCTTCACGGCTTCCTTTGATGCTTCAACTCTCCCCGTCTACATTAGCATAAAAGCAGGATTTCTTAGGTGTTACGTGTGAGGGTGTGTTGAGGGGAGGGAGGAGCCAGGAGGAATGTGTACAGAAGAGGAAGTAATTGACCTTGTTCTCATTGAAGTTGTCAGTGGTCCTCAGCATCAGGTTGCTTCCGTCCCAGCCTGTTGGGTGACACTGAACGGCTAGTCAGTTACTCGGTGAGACTTTGGGGAGTGCTCAAGGCCTGTGAGCTGTGGGAGAGGTGGGTGTTGGTGATGCAGGCTGGGTATTCTGGGAAAGCTTCCTGGCTTCAGGCTGACTGAAGTGCAAGGAGGGCAACAGTGGACAGAGGGGGAGAGGACTGCTTGAGACTGGTAATTGTCTGGAGTCTGGAGTCAGTGAAGGGAGGAGGCCTGCAGGTGGGCAGTGTTTCCACAGTGTGGAGAGCAAGGTGTGGCGAGGGAGAGAGAAGCTCTGCGGGGACTGCATCACTCGGGGCCACTTGTGGATCTCTTAACAAGGAGCAGTGATTGAAAGCTGTTATGTATTCGTGACAGGTCACGAGGCTGAATCGTGGAGAGCAGATTAGAGTCTGATACAGAAAGACAAGTAAGCAGTCAGTTTGTGGTGTGAGGCAAGACGCGGTGGTGTCTTGAGCCAGGCTGGCGACAGCGGAGGTGAAAATGGGTCTGTGAATTAGATGACAGGATCTGAGGGTTGTTTAGTGTGGAGGATAAGGCCGAAAAGGGCTTCAAGAATGAGTCCCCAGGGCCCGGCAACTCCTTGCTCCACAATTGAGCCGTGTGGGGAGGATTTGATAAGATAGGATTTTTAAGGAAAGATCATGAATTTGAGACTGTGGTGGAAATTATATGTAAAATTTCAAATAGGTATTAAGATTTAAGTCTATCACAGGCTGGGGTTACGAATTTGAGGTGAGAACAGGTGCACAGTATGAAAAGCTCCTGGCGCTCAGGGAACCGAGGATGCCACGCCTGGGGGACGAGCACCGCTGATCTGCCGTCCGAGCAGCGGCCGGGATGGCAAACTCCGCCCCAATAAAAAGTTAGAGGGACAAAGAGGACACTTGATTTGCACAGATGAGAGGAAGTGGTGAGAAGGAGGACGTAGATAGCCACCCTGATAAGGACGCCAGGGAGGGGCCCGGAAAGACGGAGGACCTGTAGCGCTTTGTCCCCAGCTACTTTACAGGGGTGAGTGACCCTCCCTCCACCTGGAACTTGCCGTAACTGGGTTGGCTTCTGGGCACCTCTGCCTAATGTCATTTCTTTGCAGTTTCTTCCTCTCTGCCTGCTTACTTGACCTTGGCCTGCCTTTTCAGGCTGTATCTTTGGGGCAGGTGCTAGTTGGCAAGTTTGTGCCTTAATAGTGGTTAGCTCAGAGTTGGCAAGGGGCGTGTGGGACCTCCTGTACTCTGTGCCGCCCCTGGAGTGAATACACACGTGTATAAGTTTGTATGTTAGTGCACAGGTGTGAGTGCACACTGCCTTAAAGTCAGCCCCCTCCTTGCTTCCCCTGTGTTTTATCGGGAGGGTGGCTTATTGTGCTTGGCTTTCTCTCTCTGTGTCCTGCCCGTCTGCTCTTTTACTGGTCTCTTGGTGCCTTTCTTTATCTGGTTTTTTTTTTCCTCTCTTTTTCTACCCTTCTCCTTGACTCACTTCCCAGGGGAACTTCTTTAGTAAAATTTGGTTTTAACTCCTAGTTAGGATTAGCTAGAAGACCTAAGGAGGCCCCTGTTTTATTTTCTCCTCTACAAGGTAGTCTACATACAATCTATAGAAAGAATCCGATGAATAATTTGTTAAGATTAGAAGGAACATGTTAAAACTGGCACTGTATAGTGAAAAGAATGAGGTAGGATGGTAGAAAGAAAAATTGAGAGCGTACGATAGCATGGAATAACAAAGAACGTGTCCCAGAAGAGCAGTCAGCACCCGTGCAAAAGATGGCTGAGTGCAAATAAGAAAGTTTCCCATGAAAGTTAAATGTTACTTCCGTTGTGGGTTTACTCCAGTGGCTACTAAACTCTGCGTAAAATTAATTATCTCTCGCTGAGCTATGTACCTTTTATAAAAATTATTTCAATCATTTTTATTAATGGTTAACATTTTTTCTGGAATGTTCTTCACAGTCAGAATTTTGTCTTGACTGCTTTTGTATTGGAAGCATCAAAAAGTGTTTCCCTGCACACACAATGTGTTTGACACCACTGAAAAAGCAAGTAATTGAGGGAACGTGGGTTCCTCCACTTAGATTTGGACACGAACAGCTCCACGAGATGAAATAGAGCGGCTCACACAAACAACACTAGAAAATTTTAAGCAACTTTAAAATAGTCTCATACCTTCGGAAGAAAATGCTTATATGGAATAGGGGAAGAAAAGGAACCTTCAGACTGCTTTGGAGTGACTCTTTGTTTTTCTTAAGTATGTGAACTTTTCTGAAGGGAATCTATATTATGAATTCTAACCTCCAGTATAATAAAGGAAAGATTACTGCCAAATGGAACGATAGGTGATATTGCTTAGACTCTCAGAATGAAAATGCCATTATGATTATGCCCTGAGTATTTAAATTTCTCGATTATGTAATGTTAATAGTCCTAAATATTTGGTCAAGAGAAATCCGTGTATTGTACTGAAATGACTAGGCATTTGTGGTTGTCACTTATTAAGATTTCTCTTTTGCCTTGACTACTGTTTTGATGAATAGGCAAATAGGATTCAAATCCATCTGTCTCCTTTATTTAGCTTAAGGATGTAATTAGAAAAGTGAGTACTATCCATATCCACCAAAGTGGTTTTAATTTTGTACAGTATTTTACTTAGGTTCTTCTGTTGCAGTATTTATAACAATTTGGTAGATCACAAACATTCTCATTTTGCAATTCCAGACATTGAATAGTTATAATCTAACGAATAAACTTTTCATTTATGTTTCAGAGTGCTGCTGGCACATTAGAGTTTCAACCAGGAGAAAGATATAAATATGTTTTTGTCAACATCACTGATAATTCTATCCCTGAGCTGGAAAAGTCTTTTAAAGTTGAGTTGTTAAACTTAGAGGGAGGAGGTAAGTAAGGCTGATATTTCTTACTGAGTATCTGCTTGTCTACCTACTACGATGGCAGTAGATTTTATTCATTAAAGAGTCCTTTTAATTAGAAAAAAGTACCGTTAACACATGAATTGTGCAGATTTGAGAGTTTCCGCGGGACACTTCCTTACAGGCATATATAGTGCTTTGACCTTGTGCAGCCTCCCTTTTCCCCTCTAGTTCCCTTTCCTTTCTTCCTCTCTCCCAGTCCCTTTCCCCTTCCCTTTTAAGACCTCTTCTACTTTCATGTCATCCTTTTTGTTGTTTGTTTTCATCTCCCCATATGAGAAATAACATGTGATGCTTGTCTACGCCTGTCTTATTTCATTTAACGCAATATTCTTCAGTTCCATCATTTCGAATGACATTTCATTCTTCTTTATTGCTATATAATATTCCATTATATATATATATTTTTTTTCTTTTATCCATGCATCTATTGATGGGCACCTAGGCTAGTTCCCTATCTTGACTATAAGTCAAGTTTGACCATAGTGCCATATTAAACATGTATGTGCCGGTGTCCCTCTTGTATGCTGACTTCCTGTCCTTCAGATAAATACGCAAGAGTGGTATAGTTAGATCACATGGTGGTTCTATCTTTAGTATTTTGAGAAACCTTCATATTGTTTTCCACAGTGGCTGTTCTAATTTACATTCCTACCCAGTGTGGATAAGGACTCCTTTTTCTCTACAATCTCTCCAGCACTTATTAATATTATTTTATAATAGCCATTCTGGCTTTTTTAGTGAATGAATTACTAGTTTTTGGAGAGTATAGACTGAAATCTTGTAATTCCTTAAGATTTATGTAAACAGCTGTGACTGCTTTCTTGGTCAAAAGAATATTCCTATCTCTCTACATAAATTTTGAGTACTAGTTTTATAAATTTATATTCAACTCAATTTCTATGAGGTTTGATGAATTCTCAGGAATACCTCCTTTTATTATGTGAGTTCCCTTTTGTTATCCATTGATGTTTTGCCAAAGTATGTGTTTTTAGAATGAAGTGTCACAGTGATACCAAATCGCTGAATTACAATTGTCATTTATAGCAGGTGTTCCTAAAACCTCCTCCGACTGTGCCTCCTTTTTCCTTTCATTTGCTTATTTGTCCGCGTTTGGAGTGCATGTTTTGGCTGCCTTTGCTGTGTGAAGTTGGTGCACACCCCTGATTCATCTTAATTCCTTTTTCATCCCCTTTCCCTCCCCTCCCTCCACGATCCTTCCATCTTCTGGTCCCCTTCCCATCTCCCTACCTCCTGTTATCTACCTTTTACTTTGCTCTTTCTTCATAATTTGGGTTTCTCATGCAAGAGAAACTATGCAATATGTAAGCTTGTGTCTAATTTATTTCACTTCACATTATGGCCTCAAGGTGCAAACATTTTCCTACAGATGCCTAAAGCTTATCCTTCTTTATGGCAGAGTAGTACTCCACCGTGTGTAAATACCATGTTTTCTTTATTCATTCATTTGAATTTTCACAGTAGGTCCATTAAAGGTATATCAAGGTAACACAAGTAAACACCAATCCTTTTAGGTAATCTGTGTGAGATTATTCTCACTAAATCAGTTCAATAATACCTTATCCTCAATCTTAATATTTAGAAAGCTCTAGTTATCAAGTATGTTAGGAGTTAAAACTCATGACATGGTATCTGTACTGAGTGAAGTTATTTGTATTTATCTTGTAAAGATGAGCTATTTATACATGCTTCTTTTCAGAAAGTCTGCTGTGTTTGATTACCAGGTGTTCACTGACAGTTACAGAATACAAGCGCCACACCCCGTGTTACTTTTGTAATTACAGGAAGTGGAAAATTGGCATAGTATTCTTCAGGACAGTCCCTTTTGCTATGAAATTATTATATTATCATCTGTGTTACTCTGATGAACAGAGTTGTAGTATATAAGCCAGCCAAAGGGAGGTTCAGTAGGACACATATATTAAAATCATCTCTGTGTATGCAGGGGGCCTTTGGGGTGAAGTGAGTGGGTTTCCCCTTCCTGTGTTCCCACCTTGGAGAAGGCAAAGCAAAGCAAGCTCGTGCTTTGGAGCAGAGGTGTGATTACACAGCAGAGTCACAGCTTGGAGAGCGCTCAGCACAGGACGTATGTGCTGGGTGACCTGGCCGGTGACATGCGAAGACCCCGGCTCTGCTTGTCCCTGGAGAAAAGCCCCACACCTCCATTCATTACCCCATGACAGGATTTGCATTGATAAGTTACTATAAAATATTTGCAAAGCTGCCCTTTGTATCACAACTAAGATTTCTTATTTACTAGAAAGCTGAGATATTGATATCGATTTACATTGGAGAGCCCAGTATTCTTAGATGCCCCCCTTACTCTCTCACTGTACCCAGGGCCCTGCTCACGCTCGGTAGCACTTTACCACTCAGCTGCGCACAGACTCGGACATCAAATATTCTTGAGTTGACCATTGCGATCATAGTGATACTTGTGATTTCGTGGAGACATTTTCCCCCACCTATAGAAAATGCGTTGTTGTATGCTAAATGAGCATGCGTACTGGCAAGTGAATTCTGGAGTTTCTTTCTAAGAAGTAGTGGCACAGCTTATTTTCTCTGTGAGTTGGCATTGGAGAGAGGAAACGTAGACAGTGTCCTCCACCCCCACATGTGCCTAGACTGTGCCTGACTGCGAGACAGCTTGGAGAGCTACGTTCTCCTGAAGACCCAGGGAGCGCCCTCTCCTCCGCACTCTTTTGTCCCCAGGGCTGATTCTAATCTTCCAGCCGCAGCCTGAGGAGCTGTTTTGTGTTAGCCAAAGCATGGATGGGTAAATGTCATGTCTCCTCATGACTTCCAGGTAGTGTGGGAACGAGGCTGCGAGCTGTGGATTTGGTGGAGATTTGTTTGACTTTGAGGTCTCTTACATGGCTTTAGGTCCTGGGTGCCTCAGTTGGTGCTGTGTGGGAGATCCAGTCCTATGGAGGGAGAAACAAAGAGCAGGTCAGGTGTTAGGCTAGCGTAGTAATCCGGGATATGGGTAGAAGCCCACATGTATGGGTGTGGCTTTGCTTTTCTTACTCCGCTTTTCATAACTCTCACTGCTGACCTCCTGTCTTCTTTGCAAACATTTGGCCAAATAATGGTTGGAGTTTGAGGGTGTTGCTCCTTTGCCTGTATTGCCTTTATGTATTACCAAGGCATTTTATGCTTTTTCCATATTATTTTCTGTTATTTTATTTTTTCTTTACAACATTTCTGTAAAAGGCAGCACTGTGTAGGTGAGAAAGACAGGATAGCAGAGGGGTGTTGCTGCAGGTTTTCCAGCTGACACGTCTCACAGCCAGGGCTGGAGAGCTGCTTATCCCATGTTGATGGCAAGGCTGAGGATGGTAAATGCTCTGGGGCTTTCAGTGTGTGGACGGGAAAGTGTCATATGCATTTCTCTAATTTTGATTTTTTTTTAGTACTGAAGTGACTGTCACAGACATACAGGCCTAAGTGTATTCCTGATACCACGTGGGTATTTTTTAAAGGTCAGAAAACAATTTGCACTGATAAAAATAGATGAAAATTTAAAACTAACATTATCAAATAGTTGGAAATGTGAAATACCAACCACGATTTACATGAACTATTTCCTGAAACGATGAATGAAGTTGTTACTTAGTAGCTTGACTGGCCTTATGATTCTGTAATGTCCTACAGTGATCTGCTTTCAGTGGCAGAATGTGTCATTGGCGAATATGATTGCATTTTCCTCTTACTGTGTTTTAAGAGTTCTTAACTTTCTCGTTGTGTCACTGTGTGTTGTGTGGGCTGTGTCTCCGCGTGTCCCCTGCTGCAGTGGCTGAGATCTTTAGGGTTGATGGCAGTGGTAGTGGTGATGGGGACGTGGAACCCTTCCTCCCACCTGTCCACAGACGTGGTAAGCAGCTGCCCCACGGCCCTTCACTAGTACATGTTTTTATTTTAATGTCTCTTCGCAGAGGCAGCGATACTAACCCTACTGATGCCTCGTATGTGTTGTCCTTTACATATCTTACCTCACTAACCCTCACAGCAACTTGGTAAAGTGTCGCTTGCTCCAGGTTGTCACCTGCTAGAAAGTGGCTGAGTCGGAGTCACTTCCCTGTCCATCAAGCCCAGGCTGTGGTCTCTCGGAGCTTAATGCAACTCCCTGAGTCTGACCAGACAGCAACTGCGCTCTCATGACATTTGTAAAAGCAGTCGTTGAAAAACATTTTGTATAGCTTTGAGTGCCTATTATATTTCATGTTAAATGCATCACACTTGCTTACTATACAAAAAGAGCCGTGAGTTTTTATGTGTAGCATTTACTCAAAACAAATGGAAAAAGAAATGAGGAATAAAATAGATGGGGAGACTTAAATTGCCAGTTGTAGGGAAAATATTGAAAGGAAGATGCCTTCTGAAATGGATTCATGCACAAATGTGATTCTGCTTTTAACTTTGCATATTTGTTCTAATGTGAAGAGAATATTTAGAAGACTTGATAGCTGAAAGAGAACTCGCTGTCCTTCTCAGAGGCTCCTTTCCCAGTGCCAGGTTGTTTTTTGGAGGGTCAGAACTCACGTTCCCACTCCTCCATTCCTAACTTCCATCAGCGCCTCATTAATTTCTCTGTATTTATTTGCTACCTATAGGGTTTTTCTTTTTCTTTTTTTGGTCCTCAGTAATGCAAAATGAACACTGAATTACTTCTTAGGAAAATAGAAGAAGTTTCTTTAGATCTTAGCATCTTTTTAGTTACAGGATTGGACTGTTTGGATCATATTGATAGTAAGATTGTGAGAAAGCAGGCCTGGAGTCAATGCACCAGGAATTAATCCTCAGCCAGATTGACTAAATTTCTGTTTCATTAAAGGTGAACGTGAGTTAGGCTCAAGTACTTTGGAGGTCAGTGGAAGTTGTGGACCTTCCTCCTGGATTCTCTATGTTCCTTTTCATAGAGAAGAAAAACAAGTTTTCTTTATTCATCTCCAAGTGCCCTTGTAACACTTGTGTACCAAGTTTGTGCCAGTGTAGAGAGTCATAAAAACGAATATATGTGGTAACCATTTGTGTCTGCCGTTCTTTCTAAAGCAAATTAGAATGTACTCTGTGAATGGAATGGCTCTTTTCAAAAGTTGCTCCTTGCCTTTTCCTGTGGTTTGTAAATGACCGATTAACATTTTCCTGCTACTTGTTGGAACTTGTTCCTGCAGCCAGCCTAGGAGTAGCTTCCCAGATCCTGGTGACTATCGCAGCCTCTGACCATGCCCATGGCGTGTTCCAGTTTAGCCCAGAGTCGCTCTTTGTCAATGGAACTGAACCAGAAGATGGGTACAGCACTGTTTTGTTAAATGTGAGTACTTTTCCCCTCCATTCCTGCTGTGTTCTTACAAAATGTGTTATTGTATTATGAAGGTGTGTTTTCTGTTGTTTTTTTTTTTCTTTAGGTAGAAAGGAATGAGCCCATTGGCACAGATTGTACAAATTGATAACTGAGTAGTGATTTGGCATTTATCTGTGTTTAATTGTGCATATAAATTCATTTTATTATTCTGAAGTCTAGATTTCTGACCCTTTAGTTAAGGAGAAATACAACAAAGCTGTGCTATGATTATTTATCTGATGCAGATTCTTTTTATGAGATTGGACAGACTGTGGTAACAAACATCTCCAAACTATCAGTGTCTAAGCACAACAGAAATTTGTTACTCGCTCATGGTATTCATCTGTCCTAACTGGTGAGGGCTTCTGATCATCGGTCTTTTGTTCACTCTAGAGGCCAGGCATTGCAGAGCCTCCCGCTCAGCAGGGGTTTCATCTGAACTTCTTCCTTCGTTGTGCCTTCTTTTTACGGAACTGAGGATTGAACCAAGGGCCTCCTGCGTGCTCAGCAAGCGCTGCACCGCTGAGCTCCCTCCCCTTCCCCTTCTGTCTCAGGTTGAGACCGGGCCTTGCTCAAAGGCCCAGTAGATGAGCTCCTCCAGACCTGTTTTCCCCAATGCTTTCTGAACCTGAGTTTCATTCTTTTTTTTTTTCCCATTGAGTTTATTGGTACATGTTAGGTATACAGTACGGTTGCATTCATCACTGGGATCTTGTACCTTTCCATGACAGGTCTTGGCTCTCATTGTTTCCCCACACCCCTGCCCTCCCTTCACCCCTCCTCCCTTCCCTATTTAAAAAAGCTTTTTTTCCATTTTTTCATTTTCTCATGTTTTTTCCTTTTCCCTTATTAGCTTTCCCCTACCCTTCCCACTTCTCCTACACCTTTAGCCCTTTTCTTCCTATTTCACATTGTCATTTATACCATTTGGATCTTATTTACACTTTTAGTTTTTCACACCAGAGGAATGATTTGGTATTTGCACATGTGTGTCTTATTTATTTCACTTAAGGGTGTGACCTCAATATGCATCCATTTTCCTATGTATAACTCTAGTTTCTCATTCTTTATAGCTGATGGGCAATTGGGTTGTTTCCAAGTTTTAGCTATTACAAAATGAGCCGCTATAAACATAGGTGCGCATATATCACTGTGATATGATTCTTTTAATTCTTTTGGAAAGATACCCAGCAGAGGGATGGCTGGGTCAAATGGAACCTTTAATCCTAGTTCTTTGAGGTATCTCCATATTGATTTCTACAGTGGTTGCACCAGTCTGCACTACCACCGACAATGGAGAAGGGTTCCTTTCTCCCCACATCCCTGCCAACATTTGTTATTGGTTGATTTCTTGATAGCAGCCATTCCTTGTGGGGTGAGGTGGAATCTCAGTGTTGTTTTCATCTGCATCTCTTAAATGACCAGTGATGTGGAACATTTTTTCATATATTTATTTGCTGCTTTTACTTCTTTATACTTCAATTTCCATGGTCACAGCAAATCACATGGCCATACCTAATGTGAGAGGCTGAAGTACAGTCCTGTTCTGCTATTTCCTAGAAGGAAAAAGAAATCCAAACATTTTTGAACAGAAGTGTTAATGATAACTCTGTATGGTTGTGTATATGTGTGTTCATTCTACTTGGTTCCAGCAGAAATTCATAAGGATTCTATTGTTCAGAGATCCAGGTAAGCTAGAAGCTTTCTTAGTACCCTCAGCTTTTATACAAATAACAAAGAAAAGTCCCCCAACATGTTATTCTGTATTACTTGGGCAGTTCTTCAATAAACTGTTGTGGAATCAATTGACCAAGTGTAGAAAAAATAGTTACTTAGAAAAAAGAACAAAGAGTTAGGGAGAAAGATCACGTTTTAATAAAGTCATTATCTATAATTTTCTTTTGAACTAGCAATCATTTTGAGTACAAATAAAAATTATTTTTGAGGATAAGAAACTGGGAGTTATTTTTGAGCATGTCTAAGCTGTTCATTCTTAATGTATTGAAAAAAATTTCTTCCTTTTAAAATATGTTTTATTTTACCTTCGGTCAAATATGGGCTTTTGTTTTTGTTTTCTGGTTGTATTATATCAAAGACAAGGAAATACTATTTATTTTTAAAATGAATTTTATGGATGACTTCAGAAAAGTGCCACACATCTATTCCTTATAATCAAGTAAATACCATTTTGGCAGTAAATGTAAATTTTTTATAAATATGCATGTGTAATAAATTGTTGGTCACGTTTGATTCATTTTTAATGTATATTATAGTTACATATAAGGTATACCTATAATTTAGAAACTAAAAATTTTCATCAATATGTGGTTTCATTTAATAATCACTTTTTAACTACTCTACATTTATACAATTCCCAAGGGTCTCAGAGATGGATGGCATATTTGCCTGCTTTCAGTAATGTTCCAGTCTTAAGAACTTACATCATAAAATTAAATTTATAATGCCGCTATCATTATTTGCTCGCAGCCTCTAAGTCAGTGGGTTTTCTCTCTTTGAAACATCTTACTATTGACTGTTTCGTAGGTGGTAAGGACTCATGGAGCGCTGTCCCAGGTGACTTTGCACTGGGACATAGACTCAGACCCTGATGGCGATCTTGCTGTCACGTCTGGAAACGTCACCTTCGAGATTGGGCAGACGCGTGCCCACATCACAGTGGAAATCCTGCCAGATGAGGACCCTGAGCTGGATAAGGCATTCTCAGTGTCGATCCTCCGTGTCTCCAGTGGCTCCTTGGGCGTTCACACCAGTGCCACGTTAGTAGTGTTGGCCAGTGATGATCCTTATGGGGTACTCATTTTTTCTGAGGAATATAGACCTCTCAGAGTGGAGGAAGTGACCCGAAATGTCACATTATCCATCATCAGGTTGAAAGGCCTCCTGGGGACGGTCAGAGTCTCCTATGCGACACTAGATGATACGGAAAAACCACCTTATTTTCCACCTAATTTAGCCAGAGCTACTCAAGGAAGAGACTATGTATCAGCTTCTGGATTTGCTCTTTTTGTGGCTAATCAGAGTGAAGCGAGAATAACTATCTCGGTTTTGGATGATGATGAACCAGAAAGGTCGGAGTCTGTGTTTATTCAGCTACTCAGTTCAGCTTTAGTGGAGAAAGTACAGAATCGCCCAGGTAAGCATCCACTAATGTGTTATGAGAAATAAGAATCTTAAAACATCGAATGTAGGCTTTAGTAAAATGAAAGCGTCTATAAAAATACTAAGGTATAATTCTGAAAGTATCATCTCGTACAAGTTTATCTGTAAGACAGTGGGAAATGAACATATTTTCTCCTTCAAAATCATATTTTTAATGTCAGTTATGTTCTCAGAGTAAATTTCAGTAGCTTCTGGGGACTCGATGTGTAACTGATCTCTAGCACTATTGTGTATATACACAGCTTTAGCCATTCTGGGACCAATCTAGAGTCCAGGGATATTGTTAGATTCATTTCTGAAGGTTCCCTAAGCACCCAGCCTTCTTTGTACAGTATTGGTAACAGATATCTGTGTCACAGTAAGAAATTGTAAAAGTTTGTGGGGTTACATACCCTGAAACATAAGGTTCATGTTGCTTGTATTCTGCCACATGGATTAAGGCTTCTTAGAAGCTTCTTCACCTTACTATAACACCTGGGTTGGGGGTAGCGTATAGGGTGAGCAATATTCTTAGCCATAAGGAAAGTAATTATAGTCCAACGTTGTAGAAGGGAATTTATAATTGTTAACATTATCTACACATTGGGTTCAATAATTCCCAATGATGAATGGCATCATACTGTATACCTAAAATATACCCATAAACTTTATGAATCATGAAATTATAAATAATTTTTTAAACATAAAAAAATTCTCACATAACCCCTCCCCACTTCTTTTTTAAAAAGCCAGATTTAACCGGGTGAGGTGGCGCACATCTGTAATCCCACCACTCAGGAGGCTGAGGCAGGAGGATCGCTAGGAGTATGAGACCAGCCTGGGCTACATAGTGAGTTCCAGGTCAGTCTCAACTACATAGTGAGACCCTGTCTCCAAAAAAAGCCAGATTTAGATCAGTTAATATAGGAACTAAATTTAAATAAAACTCAGTAATTATTCTTATTAAGTAATAGTTGTAAAGCACAGCTTTGTTTTGGCTAGGACCTGTGTTGGTGTTAGGTAACTTATGTTCCAGGATATAGCAACAAGCTATTTCACATAATTTTTAAGACCCTAATTTTCTCATCCATAATATACATATACTATGAGGATTAAATATGATATTGTATATAAACTTTAACAGTGTCTGGCACATGGTAAGCACTCAGTAAATACGTGCAGTCATTATTAACTCTGTGGTACATACGGGGTATCTGTGTACTTCCGAGAAGCAGTCCACATGCGTTTTACATTTGCTATGTGCCCAGAACCATATATTATACTGAGACAATTCAGAACAACTACGATGTAAGATAAACAATAAACACTTAACTACAAGTCTGTTTAATTGTGCCTCAAATTTCAATAGATAAGTGTGGCCTAGAACCTGGTGCTCTCTTCTGAGTATGATCTCATCAACTCTCATGGATGAGGAGGTTGGTCAGCAGGTGGGATCGTGTGTAGGGGGACTCCCATCCTAGAGAGTGGAAGCTTTCATAGCTGGCTTGGTGAGAGGCTGCAGGGAGAGAGCAGGGCGTGGGGACACCCGTCTGGCTGTAGTAACCCTCTGGACAGTGCCTGCCAGTTTGAGTGTGAGGCCTTAGATGATTTCTGGAATTTCTTTGTGCCTCACTCAAGATTATGCATCTGTAAGCACCATGCCTAGGGCAGTTCTTTCACGTGTAATCATATATCAGCAGATGAATAGATAAAGAATCTGTGTGCACAGTTGCATATTATTTGGCTTTACCAAAGAGTGAAATCCTGTTATTTTTGACAAAATGGATGGAACTAGAGGACATTACTGTAAGTGAATTACGCCAGGCACAGAAAGATAAATATTGCACTCATGTGGAAACTAAAAAATTTGATCTCAAGGAAGAGAATAGAACAATGATTATTAAAGAGTGGAAAAGATAGGAAGGACAGAGGATCCTTGGGCGACAGATTACAAATACTACTAGGAGGAATAAGTTCTAGTGTTTATAAAAGGTTGACTACAGTTTGTAGCTGGTCTCTGAGCTCAAGCAGCTAAATTACTTTTCTGCCCAGTTTTGTAAATGGAATGCTTTTTAAAAAATTGGCATAGCGATGAACTAATTAGAAGATAATTCTGTATCTTCATTATTATCTATTGTAGCATTATGTAAGTTGATGATTAATTATACATGAATCACTTTCCTCTTTGATAAATTTCCAGCTTATGAAACTATTCCTCTAGGGTAACTGTTTCTTTGCTGATATTTTAAAGTCAAATCATCCATAGAACATAAGTTTCAGGAAAGCAGGGAGTTGTGATTTATTTTTGTATCTCCAATGCCTAATATATTTTTTCTTTTTCTTTTTTTGGTACCGGGACTCAAACTCAGGACCTTGTGCTTGCCAGGCAGGCACTATCACTGAACTAGATCCCCAGCTATATGTATGTGAATCTTTTAAAATACAAACAGCAGAGAGGAACATCAAATGGGGATCTCATTTGGCTGATGGACTCTTACTGAGGTTTCTTGATTTTCAGGTATTTCTTAGAACCTTGATATATTAGCTTGTTTTCTGCCTTTCAGTTCCAAACTCTCCTCGCCTTGGGCCTCAGGTGGAAACGGTAGCCCATCTAATTATCCTGGCCAACGATGATGCCTTTGGAACTCTTCAGCTCTCGGCACCAGTTGTTCGAGTGGCCGAAAGTCACACTGGACCCATCATCAGTGTGACTCGAACAGGAGGGGCCTTTGCAGATGTTTCTGTGAAGTTTAAAGCCGTGCCGTTGACTGCGATTGCTGGTAAGAAGAGACATCTAGGAACAGTGAACTCTTAGAGGGACACGTGTCCTTGGTTAGTAGAGCTACCCAAAGAGATAATCAGGAAAGTCAGCTAGAAAGCAGTGTTATTCTTGCATCTTTTTGACACAAATCTAGAGCTTTAATATATCCCTGATCTGTATTTGTGAAAACTGATAGTAAATTTCTGCATGCATTCCAAAGCCATGGTTTTCAAAATGTGCACAACCTAATGAAAAGTGAACTATGGATGTCCCTGGCTTTCTCTTTGTGTATGTTTTCATTCTTCGAAAGGGATTCCTATGTAAATGGATACTGAAGACCACGGGATAAAATGAGCAGCTGCTGCTTTCAGTCCTTCAGCCAGCCCTGTCTGTAACTCCTTTCTTCTGCTCATTTACTGATGAGGAATATGGAAGAGGCAGTGGCTAGCATTAGCCACTTTAAGTAGGAAAAATGATTTCATTGTCAAATGCCGGCATTAAGATACTGCCTTCCAGTCAAGTTCCAGCATTTAGAGAGAGATTTGTCTAAGAGCAATTAAATTAGAATCTTTCTAGAGTTCACTCAAGGTAATGAGTGTGAATGAATGATTTATTTGCCTGATTTGTAGGAAAAAATCATGTGGACACGATCCTTGCTTGAGAAGACACTAAATCAGATGCCCCCAGTACTGCATGGCATGCACATTTTTGGGGTGGGCAGCTCCTTAGAGTCCCCAGCGTCCTCCAGGTGGCCTCACACCAGGACAGGTAGTGGGTGTGACGAGTCTGTGTCCTGAGACCTTAGATTGGACTTTCCAGTGAGATGTGCTCTACCCATTGTGGGATCAGAAACAGAGCACACCCCAACCTTCATGACACTCAGCAGTAGGTAGAATCCAACTTCACAGGAAAACCTCTCATTTTGAGCCACACCATTAACAATACAGATGTGCAAGAAAATAATTTATCTCCTCGTGAGACTAGAATTCTAGGTCTGTTCTTTGTTCTAAAAAAATTTTATATACATCTCTTTTTTTGTAGATAGGAGACATTTTATTGTAATGAATAACTCTGACTCTCTCTAAATACACATGCCCAAATACACATGCACACAGATGCACACCCAACTATGTACACGTCTTTCTGAAAGTGAAGGAATTTCCATGAGCACCCTCAGGAAGTCCTTCCTATTATTTGGTGATTTTGAAAAGAAACGTTTTCTTGTTTAGAATAAATGTAGTTAACATCCTGAAAAAGTCTGCCCAGGTGCATCCATAAATTTTGTTTGTGTTTCTACAGTATGGAACGTTTGTCCTATTTTGGAGTAAGCCTTTTATTTTTGTAGGTGAAGATTACAGTGTAGCTTCATCAGATGTGGTCTTGCTGGAAGGGGAAACCAGTAAAGCTGTGCCAATATATATCATTAATGACATCTACCCTGAGCTGGAGGAATCTTTCCTTATTCAACTGCTGAATGAAACGACGGGAGGAGCCACGCTCGGGGCATTAAGGGAGGCGATTATTATTATCGAGGCTTCCGACGACCCCTATGGACTATTTGGTAACCATGTTGCTTTGTGTCTTTTACTTGCCCAGATGAGACATAGAAAATGGCCTCTTCTTTATTTTTAGACACTCAAATTGATTGATTCAGGAGTTCTTTTTTAACCTGCTAATACTGGTATATTGGATGACCAGGTAGAGTAACTGGCAAATGGTCAGTAGTTATTTAAAGATAAAAGAAATAAAAAAAGAAAATCACTTCTTAACACAGACATGGAAACTACAGCCCACTAGGTTTTAGGTCAGATCTGGCTCCTACAAGTGGCTTCTGAAATCTTAGCTAATTCTTTAGAAAACTTATTTAAAGAAATTCTCATTCAGATGTGGATTTTTGAGCTTTCTTGCTAAATAGGAAAATCTGGGAACATCAAGTCCATTTTCCTGTGTAGTTTCACTGGTGAAGCAAAATAGCATGTACCTCTGTGGACCACGCTGGCCCCGTGTGCCCAGCTGCAGGCCCCAGGGATTTATTTCACTTGTGTCTCGTACATCCGTGAGCCCTGTGGACATCTGAGTTTATGGGTTCTGCTTTTATCACAATGAAAACTAGTTTGGCAGAGCTGATCAAGTGGTATCTCAGCATGTTACTGAGATTCTGTGGGGTGCGGTTACAAAGACTTAGGGGAAAAAGGATCCACTGTGCTAGTTTTATGTTCACTTAGTTTTCCTTTTACTTGAAATCAACTCTTCTCTGCCCTTCAGGTTTTCAGATTACTAAACTTATTGTAGAGGAACCTGAGTTTAACTCAGTGAAGGTAAACCTGCCAATAATTCGAAATTCTGGGACACTCGGCAATGTTACTGTACAGTGGGTTGCCACCATTAATGGACAGCTTGCTACTGGCGACCTGCGAGTTGTCTCAGGTAATGTGACCTTTGCCCCTGGGGAAACCATTCAAACCTTGTTGTTAGAGGTCCTGCCTGACGACGTTCCGGAGATCGAAGAGGTGAGAGGCATAGCTAGTTTAGAATGACATTGTAAATTATGCTTTGTTTTGCAGTGACTAGACCAGGTGGCTGTTGCTGTGACATTTTAGAAAGGATGCTATATCAATAAGATATATCTATAGCAAATAAGTTATATCTGCAAAAATGTCCAAAATGTGGTAGTTTGAAAGTATATAACAAAAACAGGAATACTCTAGAAATAGATTGTATATGCATGCCAATTTACCAGAATAAGATTTTTTTTGTGTGTGTAATTACATTGCACTTTTCAACATTTTGGTTAAATGATTAAATGTATATATGCACCTATAATAATTCTTGCTACATTTGCTTTGTATAAACTTAATTTGTATTCATGTTCTCTTTTGGCTTGAGTGTGAACCAGTCTTAATTATTTTCTTGATTTTCTACTAATTTTTTCATCTTCAACCATTATTGAGAATTAACTATATGACAAATATACTAGATATATATTCTCCTGATATATATTTTTTTTTCAAGAAGATGCAGCAGTATGACAAACTCTAAGTTTAGATGACATTAAAATATGGTGTTTTATCTTTTAAGCTTCTCGGTAATTTCTATTTAAGGCAAGGTTGGAAATAAAGCACAGTGGATTAACTTTCCACCAAAATGTATCTGTGGTGTTTACCTTAGATTAAAAAGGCATAGGACCTAAAATTAGTATTATTGAAATGATGAACACAAACAGGGATCTTAAATTGATTTATATGGTTATGTAATTGGACCTTAAGGAATTCAGACAGCCTGTATTTCTCATACATAAGCAAGCGCTACTATGAAACATTGCTGGATTATTCTGTTACATGCTGGGTTTGTAAATGTAATGGGGGAGATTTTTGAGTCTATTTATATTTTTTTCCATTTTGTTCTTGTTCATGTATGGATATGTTTGATTAGTTTCCTGCATAATTCTTATTGTAATTTCAGAACGGGGATGCTGTTAAGGAAGTTTTCACTGTATTTTTAGGTTATTCAAGTGCAACTAACTGATGCCTCCGGTGGAGGTACTGTTGGGTTAGATCGAGTGGCAAGTATTATTATCCCCGCCAATGACAACCCTTACGGTACGGTAGCCTTTGTCCAGTCGGTTTATCGTGTCCAAGAGCCCCTGGAGAGAAGTTCCTGTGCTAACATAACTGTCAGGAGAAGGTACATGAGACGGCTGTGTGCACCTGCGGGATGGTGGGAATTGTGGGTGTAGAAGGGATCCTTCTACTACTACATAATTTAGATTTGGTGGCTTTTCTGTATCACAGCTCATTTTGTATGTTATTGCAATGTGTTGAGTCCGTTTACTCAGGGGGAAGCCCATCACATGCACCACGCCCATTGCTAGTGAATTGGCTGACGGGTTACGCACCGTTAGGCTGCCTCACTCCAGAAGCTTACTGCTTCCATCTGCGGCCTGTTAGAATCTCAATACCTCTGGCATCTAAGTTAGGTAACACTCACTTGTCACATGACGAGGTACATTTTCAGGGTTCATTTTTTCTTGTGAGCCCCCGTAGTGTTCACTGAGCTCCTTCAGTGGCAAGTAACTATGCTTCCTATAAAAGTACCCATAATGTTGTTATTGCTTTGTTTCAGTGAAATTTAGCAATAAAATCATTTTTGTGATTCTCTTTGAAAGTTCTGAAATGGATGCCATTGGCCTACCTTGCAGGATGTTTTATCTTAGCTTTATTAAAAATAAACATTATTTGATTGAAAACTGACAAAATTCCTTTACATGATAAAAGATACAGTGTTGAGAACCAGAGGTTAATTAATCAACACGGTTGTGTTTTACTTGTACTTCAACCATAGCCAGCGCTGCTCGGCTTTGCACGCGATCCGCACAGGGCTTTGAGTGCTTAACCGTGTTTTAATTGCCTCCACCTTTTAGCGGAGGGCTCTTTGGCCGGCTGCTGTTGTTATACAGTACTTCTGACATTGACGTAGTGGCCCACGCAGTTGAGGAAGGTCAGGATTTACTGTCCTACTACGAGTCGCCAGTTCAAGGGCTTCCTGACCCTCTTTGGAGGACTTGGGTGAACGTCTCGGCCCTGGGGGAGCCCCGGTACACCTGTGCCACTCTGTGCCTCCGAGAGCAGGCCTGCTCGGCCTTTTCCTTTCTCAGTGCTGCTGAGGGTCCACAGTGCTTTTGGATGACGTCGTGGATCAGCCCAACTGTCAACAGTTCAGACTTCTGGACCTACAGGAAAAACAAGACCAGGGTGGCGTCTCTGTTTAGTGGTCGGGCTGTGGCCGGCATTGACTACGAGCCTGTGACAAGGCAGTGGGCCATGATGCTGGAAGGTGACGAGTTTGCAAATCTCACAGTGTCCATTCTTCCTGATGATTTTCCAGAAATGGACAAGAGTTTCCTCATTTCTCTCCTCGAAGTTCACCTCATGAACATCACTGCCAGTTTTAAAAGTCCGCCAACCATCGGCCAGCCAAATACTTCTACAGTTGTCATAGCACTCAATGGTGATGCCTTTGGAGTGTTTGTGATATTCAGCATCAGCCCCAACACCTCCGAAGATGGCTCACTCGTGGACGTTCAGGAACAGCCGCAAACCTTGGTGGAGCTGATGATCCACAGGACAGGAGGCAGCTTAGGTCAGGTGATTGTGGAATGGAGAGTTGTTGGTGGATCGGCCACTGAGGGTTTGGATTTTATAGGTGCTGGAAACATTCTGACTTTTGCTGAAGGTGAGTCTTGGTTCTAAGTGATTTTCAGTTTTCCCCAACAGTCATCATAGTCAGTTTTATGTTAGTGCTCACAAGAACTCTCCTGACAGTGTATTTTTGCTCATGTGTAGAGGTAGACCACAGCTCTGGAGAAAGTAGTAGTTGGCTTATCGATGACTAACATCCATATGTGACCATATATGCATCTTTTTCATTGAAAAGAAAAGATTTTCAGGGAATATGTAAATTTTATTTTTTATGCATGCTCACGTGACTTTAAGGAATCACAGAGGCAAATATAATGCAGGTTCTAATTTGTAAAGGAAGTTTTGGGATTAAGCAGTGTGCCCACACCCAGCATGTGGGTGAGCATCAGTGGGACCTGTGAGTGTCAGGATAAATCCTCAATGGAAACAAACTTTGGTGATGTATTCATAGTAAATTAATCTTGGTGACTAATTTATAATCCAGTAGTCTTCTTGGATTTATCTATGAAAATTTTCATAGACAATGTAAATTATGTATTAAATGGCCTATAAAGTAGAATTAGGGTCAAATTCACTGATTGGTTTTTAGGACTAGTTGAATCATGTGATATATGAGAAAATTTATATATAT